AGGATATTTAGAAACATCCCTGGTCTCTACCCACTAGGTAACAATGGCACCACCCTTTCCCAGTGTGACAATGGAAAATATCTCCAGACATTGTTAAATGTCCCCTGGGGAAAAAAGATCACCTCCAGTCAAGAACCACTATTCTAAAAGATGCCAAACATATGGCTGGTTCCATATCTTCTGGGGCTTGGAATTGTGAACAGCAAATATCTTCCTGATGGACCAAAATGTGTCTACTGTTGATTAGATGTTTGGATTTGCGTAGGCATAGTTTTTCACAGAGATGTGGCATAGGCTTCCAGAGAAGGTGGGAGAAACTCGGTCATTAGTACCTGAGCAGTCACTAATGAGTTCTTGTCTTCAACTCTGGCTCTGACTTTACCTTGGGGATGCTGAGTTATTAATGGGAAGAAAGTTAGTAATTAGGTAAAAGGCTATCTTCTACCTAATTTGAAGCTGGTTGTGAGATGGCAATAGGAATGGGCTCCATTGTTCAGTTAAATTCAGTTAAAAGTCCATTTGTTTTCATAAGTCATAAATTCCTTCTTAATCTGGGTCAAAGAATAGATAATGTCTCCACGTGCAAACAGTATTCACTGCTGTGAAAGAATTTAGGAAATGGTTTCCACGATACCAAAAGGCTGTGAATTAGTGTTCACAGGAGACTCTCTCCTCATGTGGTCTCAAATTCCACATATACTCTGGCTTTCTCCACCAGACCAAGATTACCAGATGGGCCAAACTGATTTTGGATATCTTTAGGGCAAAAATGGAAAATTCTTTCTTAATTCATTTGACTTCTATAGTATCTCATCTGGAAACGTTGAAACTCATTAAATAGCTGAATTTGGCATCCCATACCCTACCCATGTGCTATTCCTGGGCAGGAAGTAAGGCAGAGAGATTACAAAAGCGAGGTTCAAAGTCAGACAATCCATGTTTGAATCGGGCTCACACACCTATTTGTTATTGATCAAGTGACTGGACTTATCTGAATGTCATCTCCCCCTGTCAGATGAGAATAATACTTCTTATCTCATAGGGATCTAATAAGGATAAAATGAGATAATGTATGTGAACAGCACTTAATACAGTGTCTGCCATATAATATAGCAAGCCCTTATTAAGTGGCAGTGATTATCTTTATGTTAATTAAACTTTACCTATGAAATTTTACAATGGAGTATTTCATTTGTTGTTATAACTCATAGAAGATAATTTTAGAGGTTGATGGGGTATTACAGATGTTATGATTCTATGTGCTCATTTTTCAGATGAGAAGACTAAGACACAGAAATGAGATATGATCATCTTAGATTTATGTGGATAAAAAATCATATTTTTAGAATCTATGTACAGTACTGATTTTGGACAAAGGGGAAGAACTTTGAACTCAGGTTAAATGGGTTTGCCACTTAATTTTCAGTCATGTAGTTTCATCATCTGCAAATCAGTGTAAAAACAGCTAACCTGACAATGTTATAGGAAATGAGACAGAATGCATGGAAACACTTTGTCAGCCACAGAATGCTACACAAGTGGTATTTAATATTATGATTTCTTCTTCATTAAAATAATTCAATGCAAACACAGACCCTGGGACACATAAGCCTCTTAAAGTACCATTCAAGATCCTTCTGAATAGTTTTTCATGCCCTGGAAGAGGTCAGGCTCCAAGTGTGGCCATTTATTCTCTGCTCTGTTTCAAGACTGAGTATGCAGCACCTTGGACAGCAGCCAGGGAGCTTGTCTCAGGCACCTGCAACATTTCTTTTTGCATTTTCTTACTGGCTACAAGCTGCTGTTGCCTTGCAGTCTGGCCCTCACAGGGAAATAGAAACAGAAACTTTATGTCACCTCCATCCTTACATACATCATGTTCAGAAGATGGGGGTCCAAAAGAAACCAGGCCCTTCTTTGACCTTCATTCACTATTGGACCCGTATATACTGACAGACAGCCTGCCACATTCTTTACACAGTGAAAGTTGGTATTTTCACTCAGCCTGCCTACAAGTGAACCGACCATATATATTTCAGGACTTAGAAATACTCCAGTGAATATATTCATACCAAAGCATAAAGCTCACCTGCCTGTGAACTTGTTGTAGCTTAGCAATGCCAGGGTCCGAATATCAGTTTCAAAATCACAATGACAGAACTGAAAATGTTTGTGTTAATTTGAGGTGAGTGTAGGGAGGGTGAAGAAGGACATTGGATAATGGTGGAGGTAACTGTAAACCTAGTTTAAAAGGGAAAAAAAGGCCACCAATTTGCCATTTTATCACTTCACAAAGAGAGCATCCCTAAGGACATAAGAAATAGGAGAGGACAAACATAATTTAGAGCTTAAAATTGCCCTTAAGGTGAGCTCATTATTAACTGATTTTGCTAAGGGCCATTAATTTAGTGATAGGCTTTATTTTATGTCTTTTTTATACATCATTATTTGGAGATAGATTCCTTTCATGAGATAAATATGGAACTGAGGGAGGTTTGCCGAAAATGACAGAGCTACTATAAATGTATAAACCCATCTTATGCCAACCCATTTTATTTGCTCCTTTAACATAATTTCAAAATTATAAAGCATGGGTTGCTTATTATGAGTGACTTGGTAAGGTACCAGACCCCTAACTAGATGCCACTAAAAAAGCAATCCGACTTATGATTCTGTGCATATATTGCTCAGTTTTTTTCAATATGAACATGTTTTAAGAGTCACTAGACACCTCAAAATCAGTCCTAATACATGGTACTTTTGTCCATTGCTAGGATTTGTTTTAAAAGTGCACCTCTGAAAAACCTTAAAGGAACAGAGACTTCAGGAAAACACAAAGCTTGCTGTTTGCTAAGGTGGAAGCTGTGCCATAGATGAGGGGTAGGGGAAGGTCACAGACACTGAAAAACACAAGCCAATACACACATAACTTCTTACCTTTTGGACTCTGGATTTGCCTGGGTTTTGGGATCTTTTCTTTTTTTGGATTCCTTTTTGGTATCTTTTTTAGCCTCTGGTTCAGATGGGGAGGGAGGTTTGCTCCCTTCAGGGTCTGTATTTGGTAGCAGCCCACTAAGATATACATGCATTTGTTGACTTTGGAGAGGGGGTGGTCACATGGGACATGCACAGAGTGTGGCCAGGCACAGGAGAATCAAGAGCAAACATACATGCACAAACAAAAGAAAGAAAAAGAAGGATGCATCAAACAGCAAGAGCAAATGCATTCAAACTAAAATAATAAGCAAAAAAAAAAAAAAAAAGGATACAAACTTGCATAAGGAAAATCGGAACTGAAAAGAAAATAAGAAATCCAAAACTGTTTCCATGACAAGATGTATAAACGTAACTGTGAATCAAGTGGCAGTCTTACAATATGAAATCCAGACAATGTGTATCATAATTCATGATGATGTTTACCAGGGAGTTTACAAAAACACTTCATTATTTTATAACACTTTCTTATTCAGTAACATATGTAGAATACAGTGTGACAACCCAGAGAATATAATGCAACTTCTCTCTCTCTTTAAAGAATTCAGTCCAAGAGGCTGTAACAGATAGTCATCAAAGTGTACATATTTATAAAAAGAAGAATTATGCACAGATACTCCCCAGGTATCAAAGATTTCATGAATCTCCTTTATGCGAATAAAAGGTCATGTGCTGGGCTAGCGAACCTTATAGCAATGAGAGATGATGAAAACCTTGTTGCCTGTTAAATATTCAAAACTACAATGCTATTGTTATCTAGCTCTAAATGTTGAAGTTGCATTTCATACAACCTACCACATCAGAGAGATGAAAAACAGAGAAGAAATCCCAGAGATAATTCAGAGTTCTATAGCTTGCAAAGATAGAGCAACTGACACAGTTCTGATTTAAAATAAATGCATAAATTCTGGATTCTCCCACATGTGAATTTCCCCACAGCAGCAACTTTTTCATCTCAAGCTGTGCTTCTGAAGCCACCTAGTTTCCCCTGAGTGTGCCTTCCCTGGCTATTGGCTGAGGTGGGCTGGGGTAATGTAGGCTTTTCTTTATAGTGATGGGAGGCTACATACATTGGGACAGTAAACTGGCTGTGGTACTGTGGAAATGTATTCCATGTCTTCAGAGCCAAATGGTAATGTTCTTAAATTATTTACTGCTTTGCATTATTCAGAACATGTCTCTTTTCCTCCAGGAGCTGGGCAATGTCTAAAGAAAGAGAGTTCTTAGTATAAAGCTAAGAAAACTGATGTTCTGGTCTTGTCACTAAAACCTGTAAAATGAGGGGGCTGGTCACACTGTGATCTCTGAAGTTCTTCCAGCTAGTGGTTACATTACAAGCATTGTGATTACTTTTGCCTCCCAGCTTCTAGCTTGTTGCAGCTCTTGAAATGGACTTGGCTTCCTCCTTCTGCAGGGCATGTACACATTGCGGCTTTTACCTGGAACCACTCGGCTCCTACACATGCTTCAGTTCTCAGCCCAAGCTCACTTCCTCAAGGAGGTCCTCCCTGCCATTCTGCCACCTCAGCTGAGTCACACTCATTTATTAAATGCTTTTGTGGAACTTTATTCCTCTTCCTCAGAGTGTCAATCTCTATGCACTCTGTTTGGTGCCTAGTTTTTGCTCCCCATGTATGCTGAATGTGTGCCAGAGTGCCTGACATTCAGTAAGTAATCATTAAATATTTATGGAATGAATGAGAATAACAATAAAGGTTAACACTTGTTAAGTTCCTGCCATGCTCCAGGCATTGTGCTGAGACCTTTATTCTACTTGCATCCTCTCCACAACCCCATGAGGACACTATCATCCCTGTTTCATAGATGAGAAAACTGTGGCTCGGTTTTAATTACCATCCAGTGTCCCTGCTAGTAAATGGAGGAGCTGTGACCTCAGGGGACGGAGATGGACAGGGTTAGGGATGACCCTCAAAGCAGCATCTGTCATAAACTGCTGCCAGGATCTTAAACATTTTTTTGAGGAATATCTCTGGACATGTGCTTACCTGTTCCCGTGGACATGGGATGCACAAAAGGCAAAGCTGTAGTGAAGGAGGGTGGGGTCAATCATGGCGCCATTTTCTGCCCGTTCAAGCAAGTCTCTGAGGTAGCAGAGATGTCGGTGACACCCTCGGACTCCGTTTCGGGCACAGTACTCATCTAGGACAAACACCTGGCCAGGACTGAACCACCCCTATTTGGGGAAGAAAGGAGAGACTTTCTTTTAAATACAGGTTGTTTATTTGTTTTTGTCTTTGTTTTTTTTTTTTTTCCTGGAGAATGGCTAGAGTTGGGGGTAACTGGAGAAGGGGGTTAAAAATCAGCCAAAGTGAACACTTACTGATTGCTTATTAAGCGCCAGCTACTGTGCTGAGTGCCCTGTGCATGCTGTCTGCTCTCATCCTCAGGTACTATTATCCCTGTCTGATGGTTGGGAAAACTGAGCTCAGGGGACATGGCATTTCTCGAGTATGCTAGAGCCAGTGAGTGGTGTAGGTGGATGGGCAGACAGCATGATGCCAGAAACAGTTTCACCCACTGCTCTAACACTGAGCCGTACATTTTAGGAGTGTTGGAGGTGGGGCAGGGTGAAGTCTTGGTTACTGGTAAGAGAAAATAATAGCATAATACCTAAATTGGTATAGCACTTAACTCTTGACAAAGAACTTTCTGCTGAGTCCATAGCAATCTTGTGAAGTAGACGGGGCAGGTTTATCTTCATTTCTTAGAAGAGGAAGTGAAAATCAGAGCTGTTAAGTGACTTGTAGATAATACAGAACAGATGCAGGACTCAAACCCAGCTCTGCCCTACTCCAGAGATCCTCTCACTTTGGAAGACAATGTTGTTTAAATTTTAAAATGAAGACAATAACATAACTTTCCAAAGAGAACAACATAAGTTTTCAAGGTGTGACGCAGATATGGTTCAGTTAAACTGAGAGGAGCAGCTTCATGTGGCCTGGTTTAGCATTTTGTTTTATTCTTCCATTGACAATTATTAGTTCTCTTATTTATTTGCTTGATTCAGGATCAGACACAGTTCTCCTATAAAAGAGAACATGGGTGGAATCTCCAGCTCAGAGCAGATTGGGAGGCACAGCTGGATAGAAACTGCTGCCTCCATTATACAATTAAGAAAACAGATGCTCAGAAAGGCAAGGGACTTGTCCCTCAAGGTCACTCTTGGGCCAGCCCTGAAATTAAATCACTTCTCTTGGTTTGATAACTTTCTAAAGCAAGAAATACAGGTTTCCCCCATTATCTGAAAGTAGAGCATTCCTATGAAACCTTTTGTAGGCCAAATGGCATTAAGCAAAGAAGCAATTACCATTTCAGAAAAGTGAAAATCCTCTTTGGATTCCTTTTGGTTAGGGAATATGGGTATTCAATAGGTCACTGATCAAAAGTGAACTTTTGGATAGTGGGGGGGAATCCATAAACCAATTTAGGTGGTACTTTGTCAGATGGGAATTTTGGATTGTTTTAAATATAAATTTAATTTTACTTAGAGGGTCTTCTCCGAGTCATCTTTTGAATATTGGTCTGTCTTGGGAGAGAAAAGGGAAAAGGGGAGAGTGACTGCGGGCAGGTAGAGGCTACAGAGGTACAGTGATGGAGGCCTCTGCAACACGCTGATCTTGTATTAGTGATCCGGGTAATCTTCGATTGACAACATGCAGCTCAGCAATGCAGCCAACGAAAGACGGCATCTTTCCTATTTCAAATTATAAGTTACTGCCGAGGGCGGGAGAGTAGTCGAGGCAGTGGGCTGCCCCTATAGGCAACTTCTTTGCCACTCCATCTGCTACCCCAAATGCTAAATCTTAGAAACAACACTGCTGTGAAAGATTAAAATATATTTTCTACGACTCAGATGACACCAAGTCTTTTGTAGATGCCAAAATAGCTGCTTTGAAAAGAGTTGAAGAAATATCAATTAGGAACTCAGTCGAAGACACAGAAAAATTTATGTATCCCTGCTGGTCGGTCTCCAAAACTAACTGAAAAAAAAAAAGATCATAATAATGAGAAAATGGAATATATAGAGACGTGAGATAAGGTCCTTTTAATTGATGTTATTTTTTGAAATTTTGGATGATTAATAGGTACAGGTATACAAATGTGGAAGGAAACTATTTTACGTATTCATAATTAATTTTGGATTTTGGACCATATTTTTAAGGCTATATATGACTAATAGCAAGCAAGCTTTGAATTTTCATTTCTGGCTTAATATTTCAGAGGGTATTTATTAACTCTCCTTAGTGATTAGTTTGTTAGTGAAAAAGAAAATTGTTTTAAAAAATAATGATTTGAAAAAGTCTTGAAAATAATACACCTAAAAAATTCAAGAGAATAGGAATTATACATAAAAGTGAATGATTTAAGTTCAAAGGCATATTCTTACAAGTTTCATGAATGCAGTTTATAATTATGTGAATAATCACATAATTGTAGGAAACACATTTGAGAAAAAATTGCCTTGCAATGCAAGGTAAGCTTTTTTTTTTAAGTCAAAGTTATGCGTTCCTTTCCAATTTGGCAAAGTTCAGACTCTTCTGATGAAGTGATTTTAAACCCGAGATCATCAATGAATCTTTTATGAGATGAAGATTAATAAATTATTCCACATGATCCCGTTTCTGTTTTTAAGAATATTTTATCTACTATTTTTAATATTTTAGCTTCTGCTACAGAAAAAAAGGTATTTAAAATTAGAATAGATTTAGGATACAGCCACGTCATTTCTTAGAAAAGAAACAGATTTTCATTATAGTCATGTGAATATCAATAATATGTTAACCTTGGTTAATTCTATTAGTAACATACAGGTGCATTAACCTTAGTGTTCGGAGTCATGAATGAGGATTTTCCTCTGTGTAAAGTCATTTCATCATTTCCCTTCACCTTTCTCAACTATAAAGTGGGACTAATAACATTTACCTTTAAGAAATGATCTAGCAATCTATGGTTTGCTGAAGGAAATAAATTGGGTGTTTTTTAAGCTTCTGAACTTGATAAATAAAAAGCCCAAAATGTATCTTCAGAAATACAATAAAGACCTGACAGTGGTTTCTTGAATTTAAGTGATTTGAATTTAAGCTTAGAACAGTATTTCAAGACATATCTATCTTGCAGAAGAGCTGGACTTTTAAAAGTCTAAAGCACCATAAAAAATTCCCCTGATGGGTGAAAAATGCTTTGACTACTTTGAAGAGAAAGAAGCCACCCAAACAAACAAACCTAAACCAGTTTAGATTATGAAAGGTGAAGTAGAGCTTATTTACAAATCATTTTAATTTTTTAAAACTAAAAAGAACGCCTTCATTTCTGAGACAGGAGCCCAGGGTCTTGGCATCTGGGATAGGGAGGGAGTTGGATCTTAATGTCTAAGAAACTGAGGCAATTTTTACAAGTTCTCTACAAGCAGGTGCCAAACTCGATTACCCTCTTGAGAATATTTCACATGTTGCAGCTGAACAGGGGGAGGCTCAGACAGGGAGGCAGGGGAATTAGATTCGACTCTACTGATAACTTCCACCCGCTGTTTTCTTTCTTTGGTAAGTAAAACTATCTCAACCCAGGAAATCAAGAGCACATTTATAATTGTAATGGAGAGAAGAGCTTCTGACATAAAGGTAAAACACAAAATATTTTATTTTAAAAAACGTTATCATGTTAAAATTGCTGTAGACCAAAGGATATACTTGCCAGGCAAGAATAGGAATCATTAAGTCTGTGATCCAAAGTAAGGCGTTGCACCATCTCAAAGAGGGAAGCGTGGTCAAAGTTACAGGGGTTGGAAGAGATAAATTCGTCCATGCCATGTTTTTGAGCTCTATCTGCGTCTGTTCATTTATACATGTAGAGAGAGACACAATTTAGAGAAACACATCACATTTTCTCTGACATTTCAAATACACAGGAATTCACTACGCAGTATGAATGCTAGCAATTTCCCTGTTGCCTCCCACCATCATCTCCAATATTCTCTTTTTACCTCCCATTGTCAACTTGCATCACTTACTGGTGAGTTCATTGCATTTAGGCAAAAATATATTGGCATCAACATGTTTATCAAATGATCACAACTCCAGAGCATTTATGGTGTTCTTTAAAAACTAAGCACACAATCGTAACTTCACCTGCATTTCACCAAACACTGAAAGCAGATCGGATCTTTGTTTATAAAAGCCTATTTAGCTTTTCAGGTTTTTAATAGATTCTGCCATTCCAGTGGTTATGTCTAGAGCAATTTCTCTACAATTATTGGGATTATCTGGAAAAAGGGTTATGCTGATTTTCAGCAAAGTGACAATATTTGTCTCCTCCCCTTCCACATCCCGGTTGCCAATTTGGTTTCACAAAAGGTTGGGGTCCCCACCCTTCAAAATTAAAAAAAATAATAATAACAAAAGATTTTCATTGAAGCCTGGAGAATAAGTTAAATGGGAGTTTAGTTTGTGACAGCCGAGAACACTGGCTTATAGTGTGCTTACTCAGTTAGCAAAGCTTATAAAAGAGACAAACCAATTTACTCAGCAAGGGCTATGATCTGCCGTTTATTGTGAATTAATAGTCTCAATGTATTCACACTTTTCCTTACAGGGTGAAGGCTATAGCAAAACCTCCTAAAGGCTAACAAATTAATCTCACTATGTTTAACTAAAATACTCTATACTCAATTGGCAAAATAACTCGAGTACCCAACTCAAGTGAGACCCTGCAATTTCCAAAGAGGTAGGAATGAAGGTCCTAGACATTAAAGGAATTGGCTCACTCCACCTCGTATTTAGTCACTTTCCTTATATGCAGACTGCAAAGAAAAAGAGTCATTATCAAATCAAGCACGAGTTTATCCATCCCCTTGCATGCAATCCTCTACTGGAATGTGGGACCCGTGGGGGGCAGTAATGTTGTCTGGACATGGGGAAATCAATTTCTGACCTGAGAGGGTGTTTGGATAATATTTTCATTTGTGTTCTTTATCCCATGAAGTTTTGTTTCTTTTTTCTCTCCCAAGCTTGGGGGATGGCTGAAAGCCTGGGGTATAGTAGCTGTGTGGTTTTAAGATGACGATCTCTCTTCATATTATTGATTTTGTGTATTGTTCAAACCTAAGTGCATGGTATGTCAGATTTATACCCTCGTATTGTTTGATTTTTCAAATCTTCAGTTATTTTTCATAGAAGCAGCAAGTGGTCAGTGTTTGAACAGGATGAGTTGTTTATGCCCAAGACGCACACAAGCAATGGTTTCCAGAAGGCAAGTGGAGGAATATTTTAATAGCCGAATTGCTTCCTTGGGGTGACAAAACACAAGCCTTTGGAACAGATATCACAAGTGCAAGAATTATACTAGAGAATCTGAAAGAATCCTCTGTTGTGTTAATTGCCTCAGATTTGTCTTCAGGACAATGCTTTTCATTTGAGGTTAGGTGGCTTTATCTAGGAGGATTCTTTCGTTTGTTTGGGTTCTGAGATATCTCTCCCCTTTTGCCTTAGGATGGCTCATAAGAGAACTTGCCAGGAAGTTGGTGCTGGGGAAAAAGCTAACTGCTGCTAAAGTGTATGTATGAGACTCCTCTGGCCCAAGCAAGTATCTTAAGTCTGCTTCAAATTTATTTAGGTCTCCCTTGGCAGAACGGCACTCCTGCAATCCAGGCAGCCCCTCTCCATCCCTTAGGACAGACTCTGTTCTCTCACTTCTACCCCGTCAGTCCCAGGTCATTTTAAGTTAAGATCAACAGAAAGTGGAGGACATGAATTGCTCATCCTACTTCATCTTCATAAAAGCCTCACCCATCCTGCGCCTCTCAATTTGAACAGATAGATGAGGCATTTTGGCTGGTGCCAGCTTCGTGCTCCCAGATTTCTCGGAAGGCTGCAAGCTGACAAATCGGCCCGGGCCGAACTTTGCCTGTTTGGCTCTGTTATTTTATTGCTCTTCAGTTATGTTGGTGCAACTGGTCATTTAGCTCAGAGAGGAGGGGCTTCTTTTGTAGCTGTTAAAAATATGGCTCATGTTTGAAGTCTCTTACCCTTTATTTGTTGAACCTCTGGAAAACTTTACTGTGAGCTACTTTGCCTTGCTGCCCACTCAGGAAATGGATACGAAAAGGCAACCTGGCTACTCTGCAGAGACCTGGATACCGACCCCACGCCTTGCCTCCCCAAACCATCACAATACAGCTTCTCGGAGATTTCTTGGCTTAGAGTACATGTAAAGAACAATTTACGTTTTACTTAAAAGCAGGCTTAGAGAAAAATATGCTCAAAATCAGCCTGTTTTCCTGTTCAGAAAGCAACCTTATCCACATAAATATTCCTTTTCCTTTCTTTCTTCCCTTCCTTTCTCTCGGTCCACATGTAGAATGAGCCTGGGACTGATTCGGGAGGTCTGGATTCTAGTTTGATCTATGTTTTTAAGTAACCACGGGATGCTGGCTGAGTTGTTAATCTCTCTGTGCCTCAGTTTCCTTGTATGTAAAATGAGCTGATCTTTCAGTTCCCTTTCTGCTGTCACTGTCATTTAATTATCCTGAATATTGTTTGCACACCTTCTGTATGTGTGGAATGGAGCTTAATGTGGTGGGAATTTCCAGCAAGTAAAATGAGCAGCCCCTGGATTTTGCCTATAAAAATCATCATTTATTCAGAATTAGGCTCATTATCTTAATGGTTCCAACAACTCAAGAGTACTTAAAAGGGTGGCTGGCTCCCATGAAATCACTGAGTGTTTCATTGAGCTTATCATATATATTCAGAAAAAGAGAGAAGCAGTAGGCTGGGAAAGCTATTTGAGTGTCAGTGGAAGGGGTCTAATTTTTCAGCTCCATCCAAGCAGGGTTTTTTATTTTTTTCTTTGATATTCCCAGCACCTAGACCAGTGGTACTTGGTACATAGCAGGCACTTGATAAATATGTGTTAAAATGATGAATTTATTTCATTAAAATCAATAAATTCACTCTTCAAACAAATATTTCATATTTCTTAATTTTATGGAATGTTGATACACTAACTTCAGTGGGAACAGTTCATTTGACCTAGGATAGTAGGTGGTTAAGTGTGTAGGCTCAGTGGCTCACAAATTCTGAATTTGAGGCTAGGTCTGCTATCACTAGGTATGTGATGTGAGGCAAGGTGGTTAGTATTTATGATCCGATTTTCCTGTTCTGTAAGTTGAGAACAGTGTTTGAGTCTAACCTCAGAAGGCTGTTGACAGGACCTAATGAGGTAGTACCTCTAAAGCACCTGGCATCTGGCACATAGTATGTGTTCAATAAATGCTAGCTATGAGTGAACAGGCAGGCTTCTTGGTGCTCCTGAAGCCAGTTTGTTTAATGTTCTTAGTGAGCCAAGGATGTCTGCATTTACAGCTAATGTTAGTTATAGGTTGCATCTTAACCATATTGTTTCTAGGAAGCTGGGAGTCCTTCCCAATTTCTCTGGTTTATGCTTCTCCTCTGCCCCTGTAACCAAGTCTTGTGTTCGGTCTCTGTGGTTTTGCTGGGTTATGCTCCAATTTCTTTGTGGTCAGAACACACAGATACAGTTGAACCCCTTGGTAGATATACATCTCTCAAGGGCATGTTTCTAATCTATTATTTCCCCCACCAGCTCCCAAAGGAATCAAGTCCTTAGGAGGTGTTTATAAACTGACTTACTCTGACACCTCCATCCCAGGAAAGTTCCTATTGAGTTTATTAAGGAGGCACACACATGGGGATTCAGATGGCATCTTGTAAATCCAAAAGTGGGAACATGTGCTCTTAAGAGAAAAAAATCTTATAAAAGGAAACAGAATTCTAGGTGCAGGTGTCTTTGGGTACCATTCAGACTGTCTGCCTATGTCTCCATACATGTCTAGGACCATATGCATTACATATGTTGTCTATTTTAAAATAAAACACTGCAGTGGTCCAGCTGTTCCAAATTCTGTTTCAAAGAACTTGTGGGTGCTTCCCAAACAACACCATATAGTCATTCTTGCACTGTCCCAGTCTGTTCTTCTACAGTGCTGAACATTCAAAAATACATGCTCCTTGCAACTCCATTTTTCCCTGTACAAACAATTGGAATTGGTTGATTACAGGGAAAGAAAACTCTGCTGTTGACATTAGCGAGGTGAAAACAGCCCAGAGCAAAAGTATGAGAAAGCTAATTCCTAAATTCAGGACACCGTGGAATCACTTCCTTTGCCAACGTTTGGCATGTATCAAGAGAGTGAAAATGAATGTGAGTATCAGGTTGAACGAAATAGAATTAGGAGGGTAAAGTGGCTGCTTAAAACTTTAATGATGTTTGGATTGTCTCTTGCTTTGGGAGGTGCATACCAATGCTCTTTTTCATTAATATGTGTTCTTTTTTTTTTTTATTTGTGTTTTTAAGGAATCAAGGATTGACTGCATTTTAAAACTGACCAGACCTGGCTGAATCGTTCCTAAGTCCTGCATGGCCTGCAAGGGCTCCACACCTACTGACAATGGGGTGCATAATTTTAAAGGCTCGCAGTTAGGGCATAATTCAACACATCTTCCAAACAATGCTACTCGTTTCACTTCTGGAGTTTAAATGCATAAAGATTTTGAAGTCCTTCATAGCATGGACATACAGACTGACTTCAGACTAAACTGAGTTAAATAAAGCTGATATCCGTACCTAAACTACATTTAGAAACTTAAACCACTTCAGTGGTATCCATGACACAGAAGTAGGCTGATGGACATACAGATTTATGGAAGGCAAGTACATTTTCAAGTGGAAACTAATCAAAACCTTTATTCCAAGTTTGCTCAGAAACAATATTGCTGTGGCATTTGAGGAATGTTGGGAAAACCAGTTCCCAAATGATAGGATTATATAAATTTTATACTCTCATTTAATCTAGTTCATTAAAACTCAAGTGTTGTCCCTAATTGGCCCACTCTACCATTTATGTGGTTCTTTAATTGACCATGATAATTAGGTTCATTTCATGGTATCCTTTTCCTCTTTCTCCTTCCCAATGGGAGAAATATGTAATATTTTAAAATGATCTCTTGCCTTAATAGCAAGCATATTTATGTGATCTTGTTTCAGATATAACAATTTTTAGATAAGTTTGCAAAAAGGTCTACCAAATAAATGTAATTTTCTTGGGGGCACTAACATAGCTTTCAAATTTTCATTTTATTGAGATTTTCCTATTATTCTAACAGCTAAGGGAATGGAGACACAAGGTCAAATCTCTTTTTATTTTGTGATATTATATTTGGAACTTTTTATAGGCTAGGGGAAAAGGAAATCTGTTGTTTAAAATAACTATGATTGCATTGCAATAAAATTGTCTGAGAGAGGTCCTTCCTCTAAATGAATCCCTTTTATATTAAGCCAGAGGTAGCTGTTTTATCACTGGAATTTAGAGCATGGTTATGGCTGTTGTATTCTTGATGGATGCTAGATGTAAGAGAATAGTAACTCTAAAGTCACTGTCAACCAAACTGCAAATTAAAAGGTGACTTTGTATCTTTCTTACATGGAAAATGTGTGCTTGTCATATCTGCTTGACAGTATAAGAGTGAATGTATGGTTTGGACAATAATGAACAATGACAGTAGTCAACCTCATCAGAAGACATGAAATAAAGAAATGACAATGATTGATGGCAGCTGGATGTTTGCAGATTTTTCTAGAAGAGCTTTTTTGGGCATGATCAAATAACCAGGGGATGTTGTGCTCTGCCTGAGCTCTGCATTGCAAGAGAAAGACTGGTCCTTCCATGCCTGCTGCCCTTGAGCAACAACTTAATTTCTTCATGGTCCCTGTGACTAAATCAAGCTAACTGGCATGGCCAAGAGAAAACGGTTTCTTAGAAGCTATCAAGGACCACATTGCATTTTACAGAAATCTTGATTATTAAAGTACTATGGCAATATACCCAAGGGGATAAACATAAGATATCTACTTCAATGTTAATTTTATAATTTTTATAACACTGTTGCTTTGAGTAAAAATCATAACAGATTTTGTCACTGATCTCAAAACAAATAAATAAATGATTTGTAATTTTCCCTGCTGTAGTTAATTGCATTTTCAATTAATTTACAGTTTTGTTGATGGTTTTATGTTCCCTGTAACATGAGCAAAAATAAATTTTCTAGAGTTGACTAATTAATAATGTGTCTTACCATAAATCATCACATGATATGAAAATACTCAGCCAGTTAGTGAATAACATGCTAAACATATCTGAAGTAGTTAAGAAAGAAATGAACCTTCATTTAATATGGACTACTTAGATCATATCATGGTGTTTGGAAAATTTTGGACCTGACTGTGGGAATCTATTCCTTTAAAAAATCATTTACCTTCACAATGAGAAGGAAAGTGATTACAGTGTGGTTTGGGTCATACAAAGTAGGTTAATATTGAAGTAATTGTTAGATATTGCATTCCTGCAATGTAGCAATTGCAAGTTGACAATACAAGAAGATATGACAAAAATCTCATGAGCTAAAACTATAGAAAGGAATTAAGGCAAAGACTGTTTGGAAGTCTACTAGGATAGCAATGCGTTGTTGTGCAAATACATATACATTTGCTCAGAACAAAATTCATTCAGTCATCTATTCATCCATCCTTTCTTTCATTCTTTAAAAAAAATATAGCAAAATCATAAATTCCCACTAAGTTCACATTCTATGGTAAGCTTTTAAAAATGCCTCATGAGACATTCAAAGGAAAGTAAAGTTAAAATAAGTATCTGCTTGGAGTGGTGAAAAAAAAATCTGTCTGCTAGCCAGGGGTACATTTATGCAAAATAAAAGAAAAAAAGGGGAAAAAGAGAGCAAATTAAACAAACAAAAAGAATTAGAAGAAGGGACTATTATTTAATGGTCAGGAGGAATGATATGACCTACGACTTCTAAAATAGCATTCAGAATATGCAAGTACATAGTTGCCTGCTCTCTTGACCTATATTTCTAGCTCCCTCTAATGTCAAGTCTTCCCTCAGCACATTTTTGGTGGACGGCTTTTTCCTATATGAATAAAGGAACTGTATACTCACTCTGTTTTATTAGTAACTCAAATAATGAAGAGAAAGATTTCTCAAAGTTTTAGAGTTTCTTTTCTCTCTTACAGTTGTAGTTTTTGAAAAATTAATACGAATACAAGTGATGTCGAAAAAGTTATTGTTGCCATTGTTCTTGGGGGAGTAGCAGACAGGAATTTGAGAGGTCGCAACCCTCCATGGCATTGTGAGATGTGAATCCAAAGCTTTTGTGAACACGCTACATGGACTCAATCATGTCCTTTATTTTCTGGGTTTGTGTATGGCAGTCCCATGTATTTCAGCTCTCCTTTCAAAATTTATCCTCTATTGAGTCTTACTTAGAGCACACCATCAAGTCAGGTAGAATTAATTCTTTAGTGTTCTAATAATGCATTACTTTATTAATTGTATACTGCAATTTCTTGAAGTCTTGCTCAGTCAATATCTTTGGGTTTCCTACCCCACCTCTCTACTTGCTAAAGTATCCAGGGTTACCATACCATCTGTATGCTGACCATTCTAATCTTCAGAATAGGAGAGGAAAAACAACACCCCCACATTATCAGAGTGCAAAATGATCTGTTTTCAGGCATTAAGCAATCAGGTAGCTGTGAATTCCATGAAACAGAGGCCATTATTTGCCATTTTGTTGTGATGTTAATTAATATTCTTGGAATGAAAAAAATAGGAGATGTTAGTGGTTGGCTTTACTCAGAGGATCATTTGATGCCAATATGAAAGCCAAGGAGAGGAGGCAATTATGCACACATCACATGCATCCTAGTTTCAGTATGGAAGCTTACATTTCAAACCTAAGGTCAGGAAAATAACATGAAAAGTTTTACTACAAAGTCTAGACATGAGGAAGATTTAAGAGGAGAGGGGGGAAGCACATTGCAGGTGTCAGATAATCTAGTCTGATTATCTGAGCTGTGCTAGCTATGGGGGAGCACTTACCCTTCAGTCCGGCTAGAAGTTAGCAGGGTAAGAAGGAACAAACCAGAATAACATAAAGACTAGCAACAAGGCTCAGGAAAGCAGACAGGAGTTCTAACCTAGCAGCTAAAGTTCTTGGGTTTGAGCAAAGATTGAACAAGAAAACTTAAATGAAACCAAATAAGACAAAACCAAATCAACCCCCGCCCAGACCACAGTAACCAAGAGCCCCCTAACTGCTGAGGACTGTTCAGGTGTTAGAGAAAATAGAACCATTCTCCAAAACACCCAACTTTGGGGATCTATGATGTGATTAACAGTTATTAGTTGAGAGGCAGACATTAAAATGAGACTCATTGCAAGTGATATACCAAATAATCTTAACATACCCTCTCCCCCGAGTCTGCATGAGAGCAGGTGTACTGATTTTTACTGTTCCTCTAACACGCTGCACAGGGATCAGGTGTCTCAATGAGAGGCCACTTGGCAACATCCAACTACAGATGTGGACTTAATGCCCAAGGTAAGCAACATCGGCCTCAAAGGTTGGAAAATCACAAGTATTTGTTTAAAAAAGTTATATAGCTAGGCACTGAATCAGTTTTTTTCAAGGTTTAAACATCAACACAAAAGAGGGGGGAAATTAAATCACCACCACCACCACACACTAAAAAAACCACAAAAGAACAGAAAAGTTTTAAAGTTTGGTAGAACCCTCCCAAAATCATTGTAGAGTCACATACAAACTAATGAATAGCAGGATCTATTTTTTGTTTTGTTTTGTTTTTACAATTCTATATAAATACTCCACTCCACTCTTTCTTAGATGTGTCTTTTCATTTTGAGCTTTACAAATTGCAAAAAATAAAAACTGTTAAACTGAATTTAGAAAGACCCAAATAAACTCACAATTACTCCTGATTTCCCAAACTGTAAAATGTTCCATTCTCAAGTTTCCCTTGAGCAGACAGCGACATGACAAGACTGGAGTGTTTATTTTTTTCTATCCGAAAAACTCTCATTTCCTGTAGCTTCCCTTTGCTATGTAAATACTGACAAAGTGATTACAAAGTTAACTCATTGAAAAGTTGTTCTTAAAAATTATTCACTTGCAAGAATGCCAAATACTTTGAACAAATATTAAAAAACAGGATCTGATGAGCTGTGTACAGAACTAAGTATTTAACAATGACCCTTACCTTTTAAAAGTCAAGGAAACCTTTTAAAATGCAATACTTGATTGTTTTTATTTTTGGATAGAGAATCTGTGATTAAATTAATGTTTGTGATATGACAATTAAAACAAACAGGCTGAGAACAAAATAGAAGTGAAGGATCCAAGCTATTTATTACTTGCTGGGATTGTTTTTAATTTTTCTCTAACTCTGCTTTGCAGTACCAGGGAACCAGCCCATCCCAGTTTGCCCAGTACTGGGGTTTCTGGGAACATAGGACTTTCAGTGCTAAAACAGGGGAGTCATGGGCAAATGTTGATGAGCTGGATGTCCTAAGTATGAAGCAACACTCTGAGTTTGACTGAATTACCCACATATAAGGCATGATCTGTTTAATAGTGATGGTCTGAATTTAACAAATTACATGCAACGGTGAAGTGATGGTGACATAACTGTTCTGTAGCAGTCAGCACTAAAAATCATGATGTACTTCCTACCTCCAGCCGGGTTTTGGCTCTTCTGTGTAACTACTCAGTAACACCACAGAATGTACAGTTCTTGGTTCTTTTTATTTTTCACCTTTCCCATGGAGTTCATATGCCCCTAACTGCAAATGATCAGGTGTAGAGGGTTGGTTTGGTTAAATGCTGACTAGATTCCTCTGCTGGTTTCTACATTATGGGCACAGAAGCCTCCTTTGCTGGTACTCTGCCAGCAGTTTTTATTAAGTTCCTAAACTAGCGATAGATAGAATCTGGAGCAGTGGTGAGGCTCTATTTCAGGGATAGTGAAGGAAACATGACTATTGAGTTCAGTAGTATTGGATTGAAGCTCTGAGTAAGGATTACTGTCACTTATTACAGGGTCACAGTGTACAGTTGTGCAGACTGGACACTGCACAACTCAACAGGTGCCATTTACGTTTTTGTCTGTGTGAAAATTGCCTCTTGTAGTGCACAGTCTGCATAGCTGAAAGTGGTGGCCTTGCTCTTAAGGAACCTGGTAGGTGTGTCCGGGCCTCACTCTCCAGAGAACCTCTGTTCCTGAGCAGCGATTAAGGAGACAGTAGGGAAGAAGGTGGCCCTACCACAGGTACGGTTGAATCCCAGAGGCATGAATCATCTGACCTTCTCATTCATCTCTCAGCTTACCTCACATGTTCCCTAAGGAGAATATTGCTCACCACCCCTCAAATCTAAACCCTTGGAATTTGCTTTGGTTCCCTGTCAACTAGGGTAGTGACATACATCAAGCTTGTGAGTACTCAAGCACATCTTCCCACTGATGTCCTCGCGTTCTCATGTCATGGTTTAATGTATCCCGTGGTCAGTGGGGGATCTAAATCAAGAGGCCCTGGGTACTTCCATGAAGAGACACCCACCCTCTCTTCAGCAGCCTCCTTCAGTAATCTTTTTAAAATCAGTATCTGGTCTCCATTTAATTCTTCCCTTGGATAAGCTTCCTCTTTCCTATACTGGTGAGGAGCAACTGGGGCTAATTACAGACAAGTAGTAATTTCTTATTCCAGGCAGATACTTTCAGATACTAAAGGCAAGGTAAAATGACATCAGAGGATATGGAGATTCTGTGGTGACAAAACCAGTATCTTGCAAGTATCACCTACGATACGTGTTTTATGAGGTTGATTTGGATGGTGAGCATAATCAGAACTTTTTTTCCCCGATACACAGGTGGTCCCATTTCAGAGGGATATGATAGGGTGTCCCTTTTCCAAATTTATTAAAAAGGAGCTTGCCAGGCAAAGGGAAAGGAAGGCTTTGATCACAGAGGCATTTAAAAAAAATTAAATATGTATTGGGTATGCTTTATCTCATCTAAGGACTGAATCATCAGAAAGAGATGTTGCTTTCTCTCTTTATTGCTTTTAACTAAACTGCATGCCTCAAATGATAGTGAAAACAAGAAGGTGACGGGGAACTTGTAGTGGTCGTGGTCGGGAGGACTGCTCCTCCCCCACCAAGTCCCTCCTCGACCTCTTCCTTATTCTTTCAGGGTTTTCTGGGTGATTGTAGGGTTATTTACATCCCACAGGGAATGCGTCTTCTTTAAGAAACTGTCTGTACTGGACAGGGATTCCTGGGAGCTCCTGATGGATACTATTTGTCATCCAAAAAGAGTTTTTCTCCATCAGCAAGGGTGTTGTAGGTTTAAGAACATAGTCTGGTTAGACAGAAATGGACATGGCAGTGGAATTACTGGAAAAGAGAATTTGCTTCTATTTAGTTGCAGTAGCTCCAATATAGGAGGGAGTATGTAAAAAAAAAAAAGCCTGTGTTAAACAAAAGTCAAGTTTCTGTTGTGGGGCCTTTGCACTCCCTTTGCTGATCGCTGCAGTTCTCAGTTCTCCATCTGCAGATCTTTGTGGAGCTGACTCCCTATCACCTGGGCTTCAGCTCAGATCGCTTGTGCCTACTATTCTCTCTCCCCACTCAGCCACCAATGCATGACTTTCTTCATGGTATTTCTTGATGTCCAAAACTATCTTATTTATTTGTTGACCTGTTTGATGTCAAGACTCCTCACCTGGGATCAAGTTTCCAGAGAGCAGGGTCCTTGTCTGGCTGTCTCATGAGCAGCTCTCAGACCACAGAAGCTGTGCAATGCACTGGACTGAGTGGGTGGGTCCTGTGCTGAACTGAGGAATCACCGTGATTGCTGCTAGAAATGACTTATGCCTGAGCCTTGCGACCGATTTGATATTTGGGGCAAGGCAAGATTTTCTATTTAGGGTTAATATTTGTCACTAAAATGAATGACTTTATTTGGTGCTTTGTATTTCCAATGTTTCCATTTCCTTTGTTTAATAAATGTCTCCAAGTGTGTTGTGGATTCCACCTTCCCTGTGTAGCAGAAGTGTTGGGAGATAGAACCATCCTCGCAGGAAGACGTGGTAAAGGGGTAAGAAATTAAGATGGATGCAGGTAAGAGGAGGAGAAACTGGAAATTGGGGCTGTTTAAGGAGAGAGTTTCATTTTTGGATCCTGTTATTTCAACTCAGAATGAGATGTTAGGTACCATGCTTTTGTTTGTTTGTTTTGTTCGTTTTGTTTTTTCCACTGCATGTGATAATGTCACCACTTATTTTTAAATGATTCTAACTTGCAGATTTAAATTTATTTTAAATTAAGCCCTATTTTAAAATTAGCTTTAATAGAAAAAAACAAGCAAGGACATACATAATCTACTCTCTCTGAGGGACTCAAACGAGTATGAGTTTGGTTATGAATTCCAAACTCTCCAAAACAAAAGGATGAAAATCCACCTAAAATATACTTTCTTTTGTTTAGTCTGGGGGGAAAATGTCAAGTATTGCACTTTAAAATTAATTTTATCTAAGATTTTTGCCCAAACTTTCCCCCCCTGAATTCACTATCATTTTCATGATTGTATGAATCCTTAATATAAAAGCAACTAGATTTTCTAATTCAACTTTGGGAGATTGACTTGACCCTACAGAGCTGTTTTTAACGAATGGCATATTTACTTACAAAATTGGGAGATGGGGGCGTCCAGCTGAGGCACATTCCCTCCCTTGGCATTGAGTTTCTGAACTTGGGTTGGGGGCACAGGCTTGTGTGACTGTCCAGTGGCCCGATACATGGCTTGGACCCACAGGATGCGATCTTGTTCATCATCACTCGCGAATATCACGGTGTCGCCTTCCTTGACTGCATTGAAGAAGGCCCGGCCGCCCTCCAAACCTAGAATAAAAAGGAATGAAAACTACTAAGCTGAACTGCAAGGTTCTCAGCAGGACTGAGGCCAGAGAAGGGTGGCTTTTGCACCTTTTCCTTGGGCTGGAGAAGGAGGAGCAGTTTATCTGACTCTAGGATGGGAAGCCTGATAAAGCCTGATACCCATCTGGCCACAGAGTCAAGGCGTAATGTTAAAGATGCATTTTGAGCCTGGCTCTTGTCTCCATCTTTGTTCTGCTGGGGACAGAACTGTCAAGTAGGCTGCCTACTGGCTGAGTAAACATTTGCCTATAAACATACTATTATTTTTCTCATCTTTAAAGACAAAGAAAGAAACAAACAACAAAACATTACCTTCTTTATCCATATTCTCTCCCTCATTGATGCCATCCCGTCTTAAATACCACGAATAGGCTTGGGATCACTGTATTTCTATCTCCAACATGACTTCTCCGCTGAACTGCAAACCTGAACTTCCAATGGCTTTCTTGACCTCTCCACATGGGTATCTGATAGATGCCCCAAGCTTATCACATCCAACACTGAGCTCCTGGTCTTTCCCCCAAACTCCTCTCTGGCTCAGCTAAGCTGAACTCATCACTCCAGTTGCTCAAGCCCTCAACCTTGGGTCCTTTCTGATTCTTTACTTTCTCTCCTACTCACTTCCAGTGGGATTCAGACTCCAGGACTAGAATTTGATCCTTTTTTACACCTCCAGGGCTTTCACTCTGAACGTAGCCAGGTGAACATTTCACCTGGATTATTTTAATAGCCTCCCATCTGATCTGTTTGCCTCCACCTTCATTCTCTATAGTCAATTCTCAACATGGCAGCCAGAGAAATTGGTTTAGCAGAAGGTCATGCCACTCCTCTGCTCAAAACCTGACAGTGGCTCCTCATTTCACTCAGAGGAAAAGTCTAGTTCTGACAAGGCCTGAAAAGTCTGACATCAATTGTCCCTCCCTTACTTCTGTACTTGTCTCGTGGCACTCACATTCTCTCTCTAGTGCACACATACACACACTTCGAGGCAGCCACACCAGCCTCTCACTGTACCTTGAATACCGCAGGTACATTCTCACCTCAGGACTTTTGCACTTACTGCTTGCTGTGCCTAGAACCCTTTTCCTCCAGATATGTATATGATTCACATCTTCTCCTCCTTAATGTCTTTGCTCAAATGTCACATAATTGAGTGCTTCCCTGACTTCTACCTCACATTCTCCATCTCTCTTATCTTGCTTAATTTTTCCTCCATAGCTCTTTTCACCTTCAAAAAATGATCATTTACTTTCCTTCATGAGGACAAGGACATTTTGTTTGTTTTGTTTACTATTGTATCCCTGGTACCTAGAATAGTGCACAGCATATAGTAGGTGTTTGGCAAATACTTGTCGAATGAATGAATGAATGAATGAATGCTCTACAGACGTATCTTCTTCCATAAGCAGTTCTCCAGGTTAAAATTTAGGGAGTTAGGTGGAAGCTTCTCTTTGGGCTCAGGCCAAAGATACAGCATGTCTGTCAGCATATTCCACAAGCCTCTACTTTGGGGTTACTGGATGCCCTCTGGCCAGAAATAAAGCTTCATAACTTCATCAAGTTTCTCAACATCCCCCCAATTACTAGTTAAATATTAAGAGGAGTACGAGCAGGGTGATTAGCATCCCCACATTCCAACTAGGCCCAGTTATTAAGCTGTTTGACATTTGACACTGGAAAGCTTTCTGGTGACACGAAGACTTCTCCATTGTACTAAATCATATGTGTATTCTACAAGCGTTGGGGTATATTCATAGTTTTGCACTTAGAATGGCCTAGGATTCTAGAACAATAAACAACCACTTCTTTGGAGGGTCTAGTGATACAGCACTGGTAATAAAAGCTTTTTGGTGGTTATGATTATGAGAGACTATTTTTTTTGCCTAATTTCTTATGGAGGGTTTTAGAATGTGTGATTTGGGTCGGATGATGTACAAGCTGGGGAGAGCTGATGAAGCTAATGGATGGCATGATAGGGAGGAAAGTTCTGGGGGGAAGGGAGGAAAAAAGAGCTTTGAGGGCTGCTTTAGGCCCTGAAGAGTAAGCACTAAGGTGCTGAAAGGAAGAGTCAGAAGGCCCTCTGATGTCAAGTCTCAGGTAACCTTTGGGGTGAGGCCTTTGATGCTGCCACTGAAGGCAGGCTAGACAGCACTAGGGGGGTCCCTTTCCCTGTCCCCCCAACCCCTACTTCTGAGCATGGGATGCTGTGTTCTTAGAGCTACTGTCAGAAAATCAGTTCATGAGGTTGCTTTGGAAAACAGAGAGGTAGAGATACAAAGGTGCTGAGAAGTTTTCAGGCTTTTATTTAATCCTTTCAAAGGCCCTAGGAAGTAAGTCTGATTATTCCCATTCTATAAATGAGGAAAACGAGTCACAGTAACGGAGATAACTAGCCCATGAACACAAAGCGGAGCTGTAAGCATCAGAGTTGGGCTTCTAACCCCCACTGTGTGGCTCCAGAGCTGATGGATGTAACCGCTGTGCTGCACGGCTGTGACGCGTGAACAACATGGCCTGGCACGTGGTGACAGCTGTCTGAGGGTTAGCTGTCAGCGACAGATTGAAGCTAACTGTGGAGTGACAGGGGACAAAGAGCATCTAAAGCGGCAGAAGCAACGGTGGAGAGCAACAGAGCTTCTCTAGGAAGCACGGAGACCAAGGACACGCCCATGAGAGCAGGGAGAGAGCAGAGCATCCCAGCTGAAAGAAAGCCGCGGGAGGAGAGGGCAAAGTGAACACGGGCACGTGCTCCAAGGCAGCCGTTCCTGGGGAGTGTACATTTGCAAAGTACCGTGTATGACAGAGACTGGGCTGTTCATGGAGAACGTGGAGCCCTGCCCCCCAGGTGCTGCCCTGTTATGAGCAAGAGGACACAGCAGGGAATGGACTGAGGCCACCCGGCTGGGAATGTTGGCCAGCTCCCTGGGGGCGGCAGGGCAATAGTTCCAGCAACCTCAGAGAAATACTCCATTTGTAATGGTAAAGTTGTCTGAGATAGGATGTAGTGGTTTAAAATATGCCACAGCATTACTCTGCATGAATATCCTTTTATTTAAAGCTTCATTACTTCATCTAACAGGAACCGAGAGATTGTTGCATACTCTCCACACCAAACCCAGGGAAAGGTAAAGTGAAGTTTTCATTTTTAGCTTAAAATGAGTAGCCTATATGTAAAACTTACATATAATTATTTATCAGTTCCCCAAATTAACATTTCAAAGACCCTAATGAGGTTGATTTAGCACTAAATGTGTGTGTCTGAGTGACCATTTGGTACAGGCTGGTACTAAGGCAAGGGCATTTGTGGCTACAAGGCTACCCATCCCATAAATACTTCCACCAGTTGGTCCCAGTGACAATCTGCATGGTCAGGAGTAGGAGGGGGACAGATGGGCTCACAAGTCCTCCATTTGTACACTCACCTTTCAGGGAGCAGCTGAAGAGATTCCTACACCTCTGAGGACAGTGGCTGAACCATGTGTCACTTGGATCTCTAGCTGGTCAACTTCACTGTGAATGAAAATCCCCTACAGTGCTTGCTTATTTATTTATTTACTTATTGCAATAGAGTCAATATATAATATTAGGTCGGTTTCAGATGTACAACATAGTGACTCAAAAATTGTCTAGATGCTTGCCACAATAAGTGTACAGTGCTTATTTAAATACAAGGCCCTTTAAGAATTCTGCCCTTTAAGAATCCTGAGAAATTTTTAAGTTAGACTTTAAGAAATTCTGAGTTAGACTTTTCTTGTGACAATTGGGAGTATTTAAATTTCCATTTTCAATCAAACGTTACTTTGGAAATAAATAGGACTTGGCACATGGGAAGGCAGAGAAGAAGCTACTTATTATTCTCAAGAACATAATCAATTTACTTTCCATTTACATCTTTGGTAAAGGAATTCATAAATTATATCCTGTGGGATCCATGTGAAACAGAAGAAAAGCTCTTATGATATATATGCAGTTATTCCTTTTGCATGTAGTTAGAACAGCTTCCTCCCTGTTCCTGCCCCTCTGCTATTGGAAGAGAATTCTGCTTTCATACGATAAAATAACAACTCTAGCTTTGCTATAACTGTACACATAGCTGTGTTTTCCTGCAAGTACCAAAGGGTGGCATGGGCTGGAGCCCGAGTCCCAGCTCTTTTTCTTCTTTGCAAAGTAGGATAATCCTGACCCTATCTCCTTGGTAGGATTGTGGTGAGGTACAAGTGCAATCACGCAGAGGAAAGGAGTGAACTGGTTTAAAAGGAATTACTATCACAGAAGGTATTGTTTTCCTTTTCATTTGGCCGATTAACCTCCCACGTTAAAATGCAGGTATAATGAAAGATGAAATCTATTTTCCAAAAGGAACTCAAGAGTTTGGGAAGAACTCAAATTACCACAGAACGTCCTGAAGGCTAGTGTCTGAATGTAGGAGCCATAGCCTTTTAATGAGACGTTGCATGAAATTGTTTCAAACTCGTAGTTTCTATTCATCGCGAAGAATTTCAAGGGAGAGCCTTTAATACGTGCCTTATGTGGTCAACTCTACGCCATGTTCTGGCAGGATGTTAATTACCTATGCAAGTCCAAGGGCGGGAGCCAGTCCAAGTCACTCGGGGTTGGGATTCTGAATGTGATAATTTCCCTGAGCGGGCTGGGACTAATGCCTTTCCAGCCACACCTTTTCAGGTTAATAACTCATATTCTCTCAAACTCTGTTTTTCTTTTATGTGTATTTTGTTGCATGTGGAAGAGCAATATGGGAGTAGAAAAAAAGGTTTTGGGCCAAATAATGCAGTATGGTTGGAAATGCTTCCCTTGTGCAGATTTGGCATAAAAATAAACTTCTCTGGGAGAGGGCTGTTGGTGCTTGTTGTTCATTAATATGCTGAAATGATTTCGCACCCCCTACCCCCAATTTTGAAGGTTCTTTGAGGCCGACTTTTATTCATTTTTTCTGGGAAAAAGATAAAATAGGTGGGGGAGAAGTGTGAGGGGGCAGGATGAAGAACTTATGCAATGCAGAACTTATGAGAAATACTACTATTTGTGTGCTTCTCTTAGTTACATAAGGCTTAGGAGCTCAGCCGCCTATACTTGTGGATTGGTGTCTTCTTAGGAAAACATTTGGGAAGGGCTTTCTTTTCCAGTGCAATCAGCTAACCCTGAATTATATGCAGCAGATCTGGCTGTACAGGGCAGACCCACTTAGATATGGGGACACAACACTTGCCAAGCCCACACATCACTGGTGGAAAAGAACACTCTTACACAGGTGCACACACACGCAGTCCTTGGGATACATACAGGCTTCTTTCTCAGAGATTTCAGCATTCTAGGGTGGGGCACATATTTGATGTGGGTACAGCTGTGTCAAAGAAAAATGTATTATGTTTCCTCTTTGGTTTCGCAGGGATCCCTTGAGTAAATAGAACCAAAGCCCTTGACTGGGATGGTATTTATTCAACCGGAATAGAAACTCTGTAAGATCAGGGACTATGGCTGTTGCGGTTACGTGGGAAACCCTATGAACTTCACTTAGTGCCCGGAAAATATCAGTTGATCATTGATTTGGGAAGGGGGGGTCATTTGTGGGTTCATGGCTTAGAGGGTGGGTGGGTACCTGGCTGGGGGTCAGTGTAATCCACAGTGTAGCCATCCAACTGTAGAAGCTCCTGAGGCTCTGCTTTTTTCTCCCGGTAACTGCACATGGCAAATGTGTACTGACTGACCTGAGAAAGAAAAGCACAGATGGTGAGACGGGTCCCCTAAAGCCCATCTTTCCGGAAAAAACCCTCCCATTTACCCATGTTCTTTTCCCTGAGGTCCTGCACTCAGGCGATGGGTTCAAATTGAGTTTTGCCACATCCTGGCTGTGTGACATTGAGCAAGTTACTTAGCCTTTCTGGTCCTCTGTTACCTCATTTGTAGATGGGCTAAATCTGAGAAACCACCTCCTCATTAACTTATTGTGAGGATTGCATGAGTACACATTGTGAAATGGACTTAGAATCTTTTTCTGGTGCTTTTAAGTCCTTGATAAAATTTAGCTATTATCATTATTGCTGTTGTTTTAATTGGGTTAAGCTACATGAAACTGCCATTTTGTAGGAGTTCAAAACAGGTTGAAAAGAAGCAGTTTTACAGGTTCTACCTAGTAGGACTGTGGCCCTGGCTGAAACTGCCATGCTTGCAGACACAACATAGGCCTTTTAATCAGAACTGAGGGATTTTTTTTTTAGCGTTTTATTTTTTGCAGGCCAATTCTCAGCATCAGGCCACGCGTTTTGTTTTCCCTCTTTCCTCCTCCTACTAAAGGAGTGTTTTTAGTTGCTTTGAAAAGTCTTCCCTTTGTCTCAAACGAGCGCAGGAGTGACATGCTGTCATAAGCAATGAGTGCTCGATCGCTGGGTGCCAGTCACAGTAAAGCCATCCTCAGCCTCCGATGGCGCAGCCCTCACTACTGATGTGGGTGTCCACGCCAGTGCCAGGCGTGCTCTGCAGCTGCAGGCTGGCCTTCAGGACCCTGTCGCCACCGTACGCCCAGGCCCAGCATGGATACTTAGCATTTCTACATCTGGCTCAGATGCAAGGTGTCCGTGGAAGAGCGAGCATCCTCCGGGCTTTGGGCTCAAAGCTGGTGGGCATATTTACCATGCACGGATGTGAGATGTCTTGGGGAAGGAGTGCCACATATCTCATCTCTAGGTTCCCTTTATTAAAAGAGACATTTTCTAAAGTGAAATTTGATCCTTGCTGGGGACATTTTTAATTTTCTTCTCCATGGTGAGATTCGTCTTTTTTTTTTTTTTTAAATGGCCGTAAGAAATTGGCGCTCTCAGGTCTGTGACCTGAAGGTCCCGGAGGTGCTAGAAAGGGCGCAGTGGAAAACTGTTACCGATTGGCTTATCTATTGCTGCCCTCTGTTGGTTCTGCTGAAAACTTTCTTTATAATGCGTGTGGTTTGCAGAATCTACTCCTTACACGGCAAGGCCCTGAAGTCCATCAAGGGAAACAGGAGGTCGGATCACTAAGAGTACTGTTACAAGTGGACATGTATTATCCTTTGTAACAGCAAAACAACCAATAGCATTCCCTTCTCCTAAAAAGGAGGGTCAAGCGTGCAAGCCTGGGGGCCACATAGGCCCGACCTAAGTCTGAGTCCTCATCTGTTGCATCTTTTTATTGCAGGGGGATTAACTGAGCAATGAAGGGCCTTACACTCACTGAATATAAGTGTTGATGTAAACAGTTCCCTTGCACTTGGCCCACAGTCTAATACAGGGTAGCTGAGTTGCTGTTTTTGCCAACTAGATTTAAATCCTTTGAAGGCAGGCCTTGGGAGTCATACATCTTGGCTATATTCCGCTCCTCATAAGCAAAATCTATTGTGTAATGGGCATTCACTAAGTCAATCTGATTGCTTTTAGAAAGCTGCATATATATAGAGACTTAAGTTCCCTCTCACATTTACATATATTACTCCAAGCACAGCACAAGGCCTTTTCAACTGGTTACTGGTCCCATGCGTTAACTGATTCCCCATGCCTCCTGGCATGATGGTGATCACAGATATTCTTGGAGTCGTTCTGCAGGGATTTTTACCTCTTTCTGATAATGTAAGAGATGATAAACTTTGTTAATATGATGATTAGCCAAAGAAATTGAGGGTTGCAGACACTCACTTGAGATCAGAAACATATCACAACAGAAGGGTGTTATTTCAAGATTCATGCATTTACTGTTACTACACACTTCGAGTTTTTAAATTTTTCCTCTTCTAGTTCAGGTGCTTGCTCCTTTGAGAGCTGCATGCTGCTGCCCTCTTCTGGTAATGATGCTGAACTTGTCCTGCCCAGCCGGGCTAAATAAACTTGAGCTGGTTTATTAGGATCGTTTCAATTTGGGATTTGGTAACTTACTTTAGTGAAGTAAACGAGAGGAGAGGAAATTAATTCCCTTTGAATAGTTATAATTACTGCAAGTTTTGGGGGAACCTCAGTTTTTCTAGAGTGCTCGAACGGTGAGAGATAGCAAAGGTTTTGGATTTTTGTAAGCTTCCTGAAGACATTACTAAGTGAAAGCTATTCCCAATGAAGTGCATGTTAGTCACAGCAAAAGCCTATTTAAACTGTATTTTGGTAAAAACTTAATGGGATAGTGAGTACTGTTGTAATAATGGCATAGAAGAATCTGGAAGACATGTTAGAAGTCGGAGTTGACCACCCCTACCAGACATGCTGGCCTAGAACACCAGAAACATAGAGATCGAGCCATCTCAAATGACCACCAGACATTTGAAATTGCACTTTGGTGAAAGGGCTTAAAGGACTACAAATTTTTTTAATCTTTGGGATTTCAGCTAGTATGTATTTCCCATGGAATCACAGAATGGGCTGTTGGCTCAGGGTTCAGTCTTCGAGGTTTTGTTTTAAAGGTGGCTGGACCACTGATACAGAAGGAACCCCTAAGCTCATGTCCAGCCCCTATTTAAACTAACAGAAGTTTAAAATAGTGTTTCTTAAAAGCATACTGAGGCCGCCTTCATTACAGTGTGTGGTAGGGTTATAAATATGCAGATCCTATAAATTTATCAGATTAACAGAACTTCAGGTTAGGGTGGGCATCAGGAATCTATATTTTTCATAGTTGTCCTAGCTTTTTCTGAATGCACATTAAAACTTGAGACCTACTGCTTAAACTTAAGGAACTGTCAAGAAATTTTCAGGTTGCCCCCGAATTTCAATTATATTTAGCAACTGGAGTTCAGTTATGAGATAAGAGGGTCAGTCTTTCCTTGTCCTTGACTTTCCCCTCTCCTTCTTCCCACCACCTATAGACTACAATACTTGAATGCACACCTAATGATAGAATGCGTTTTGTCTAAATCCCTTTACTGTCATTCTTTGAGAATGACTCGGCTATTATTTTTACTGAACCCTGGCCACTAGCCCTTGCCCAAAGTTCACGTACAGACATTTTAGAAAAGTTTTTCATTTATGGTAGTTTAATTAATTAGCTCATTCATTCATTTAACTAATACTTGGTATTATGTTTGGTGCTGGAAATATAAACATATACAAAACCGAATGATTCCTGCCCTCATGTCTAGTGGGAAGGTAAACATTAATCCCATTACCTCAGAAGGGTATAACTCTAATGGTGATAAGCATAAAGAGAGAGATACATGGTACTCTAAGAGCTTGGGGATTTAGTCTACTTGAGTGCTTGGAAAAGGTTTTCATGGGGAAGCATTGACTGACTGAGCTGAGACCTGAGGATGGGAGAAAATTTTCATGATGTGAAGAACACAATTCCTGGGACTACAGGTCATTTTTACCGTGACCTGGCTGTGAATGAAGGATCACCGAGTCTAAATCTTAGACTCTTGACTGACGCTGACACAAGGGCTATTTGGTGGAATAGCAGGAAAGAAAGGTTTTGGAGGCTATACAGACCTGAGTTTAATTCTCAGATTCATTATTTTCCAGGTGTGTGACCCGAGCACTCCAGTTAACTTGCGTGGGGGACTCAGTTTCATTATTTTAAATGGAGATGATGGTAACACCCAGAGGGACATTTCTTATGTTTGCATTCAGAGCACTTATTTCCCTCTGGTAATCGAATCTTGATTTTCCTAGGGGAATCACCGTCTTCTCCGCTTTCATCCCCTAGAGTCTGCATGGGGCTAAGCACATGTCTAGCTGAGGTAGTGTGGGTGGGATATGTGACCCAATATGACCCAGGCAGGGCCAATCAGCTGGGCAGGTCCTTGGCTGCAGTGATTGGTGCAGGGGTGGGCCCATGACCACACGGGGCTAATGAGAGCTCAGTCAGGGCCGCTGCTAGAACTACTGGGAACGAAGAGTTTTCTTTCCTCTGAGGCTGCTAAGCTGTTCTAAACCCTGACCTGCCAGAGTCCATTGCATGGAGAGAGCTTGCTCGACGGGGAGCCAGGTCAGAGGAAAGCCCAGTCAAGAGATAGTATTGACAGACACACTGAATCGTAATGGCTTCGGTTGAGCCCCAGACCTAGCCATGCCAGAAGACTATTAAATTGCTATTTTAATCAACTAATCAATACGATTCTTCCCCCTTTAAAACCTAAGTTAGTTTGGGCTGTTTGTCATTTACAACCAGAATATAAATATAAATGTCCTTTAGGACAACTGTGAAGTTGAATGGCAAAAATGAACATTCATTCAGAGTTATAAAATCACTCAAGTACTTATGTCTTCTAATTCATTTTTGTGGTTGACTTATTTTAATATTGTTTACTGGGTGACAACTGCTGTATTCCATGGCATCTTATATTATCTGACAATATTTTTTTTTTGACAATATTTTATCTCATGCAGATTTAGTGCTTTTTCTGAAAACTGTAACAGTTTTAGTCATATTATCTATAGGGAATCAGAAATAGGATATGGATTTAAGGACCACATTGTTTCTATCTGAGGTAAGGTAATTGAGTTCTAGAACATGGTATACATATAAATCTCTTTGGAGCCCAGTCCCACCCGAGTGCCTGGAGTCACGGGAGGCATATGGAGTCAGAAGACCTGTGTTGGGTTCCACGTGGGCTGCTAATTAGCCTCTAACCCTGGGCAGGTCAACCACACTGAGCCTTGGTTTCCTCTAATGTGAAATGGGGTAGGACTTGTCCTCTCTGTAGTACAGAAAGGTTGTCAAGACCAAAATGACGTACACTTTGTAAACTCTTAAGAAACTATATAAATATAAGCAATTGTTAGCATTATTACAGGAACTAAAGAATATTATGGTGGAGCTAGAAGGGGAAAAATGTCTCAAATACTCTGGCTTAAGACCAATGAGAAACTGATTTTAACCAGAAATTTGGGGGGCATAGAAGAAAAACATTCAAAAATTATAGAGATGAGGCTTTCTAACCTGGTAGGATGATAAGCTGGCTGCTTCTGTCCCTCCCCCGATACACGGGCGGTGGGGAGCTAGCAGTGGAGCTCTGTGGAAGTGGTACCTTTATCATTATCATTGGTTTCGTCACAGTTCCTAACAATGATAATCAATGTGCTTGGTCCTTACCATGGCTCCTGGCTTTAAAATGAGTTTACCAAGCAATTTCTTAACTTAGGATGATGAGGACTCATTTCCCCTTAACCCTTGGGTTAGGGTTCACAGCCATGTTTTTAGGGAACAAATTGGAATATGAAGGAACGTAGCTGTAGGAGGCCATGTAATGTCATTTGCATATAACCAGCTGTTTAGTTACTCTGATGCTCAGCTTCACGCAGAACCTCAACTCTGTGAGGGTGTGGTCTACAGGGTATGGGAGCCTTCACTTTAAAAGGGACACTGTCCGCTGAGGCAGTGTTCTCCAAAGGTGGTCTCTGGACAACCTGCATCAGTATCTCCTGTTGTGCATGTAAAACAGATTCCTGGGCCTCATCCCACACCCACTGTGTCAGAGTCTTTTGGATGGTGCTTCACGGTCTGCATTTTAAGCAGTAGCTACTGCAGGTGATCTAGGCCCCTGCCTGCCGAATGCTGTCTGATTGTGTAGGAGGACCACTTACGTCTCTGGCACAGAAACACCCTGCAACTGCCTCATTCCTGTCACAGGTGGTGGGGCAGACTCCAGCCACTTCCATAATTTTAAACCCAATCCTTAAAAACAGGAATTGCTGCTTTGGTTCAACACCCCCCTGAGGTCTCTAGCTAATAGGAAATCCATTTACAATCTTTGTCTCTAGCTAGTAGGAAATCCATTTACAATCCATCTTTGGTTCCCCAAGGTAGGAGCGCTAAGAGGAAATCTCAGGGAGATTTTAAACAATTCTGAGTTACAGACAAAAATGTAAACCCTGTGTGTGTGTGTGTGCGCACATGCATGCATACGTGTGTGAGAGAAAGGCAGGGGCAGGAGGGGAGATGGTTTTGAGGAGACAGGTATTGGATGTGCTCTCTTCCAGTGGCATTCACAATTGTTCTGGTAATTATGTGCTGCAAACTTTCTAGAAGAAACGCTCTCAGAGATCTAACACCTGAGGGTGAAGGAGCGGACGGTCACTAAGTCACCTGGATAGACACGCTTCCTGTGTGGCGGCTCCACACCGTCCTCCACAGAGCTCTCTGGCGATTTGGGGCTGGCTTCGGGGATCTGCTTCCTTCCCCAGAGCCCTTGTCCTTCCCCAGATCTGACCAAGTAGTTCTCCTGGTTTTACTTTTGTATTTTGAGTTTCAGTGGAAGAGTCTGGGAGCTAGAAATAAACCGGGGATCATGTGTTTGTACAGTTGACTTCAACACTGTGTTATGGCTGTTCGGTGGTGAGTGGCGCTGCCTGGGCACCATCCTTCTCTTCATGCCGCCTGGAGGATTTTTGCTTCCACTGAACTGTGCCAGGACTGGTGGCCTTGAACTTTTCTCCTGCAACTCTGTTGGCATTGGGGTTGTTTCAAAGGGAGTAAGTTTTGTTTCTTTTTTGTTTTGATAATGCACCTGTAAATGTGATCATTTAAACAATAAAGAAGAAAAAAGGGGAAGAATCCAAAAATAACCCGGTGTTTTGTAGGTAGGCCACCAAAATTGCTTTTAGTCATTGTTGTGGTGAACAGGACAAGAAGGGAAACAGAAGGCCTGAGTTCTCACCCTGGCTCCCAGTCCCTGTGTGATGGTAGGGCCGTCATGTCACCTCTGCAGGCCACAGAGGTTGTGGAGGGAAGAGTCGGATTTAGGTTGAAACAGAAGGTTTAATTTGGTAGATCAATGTCGCCCATGTACCTCAATGGCTTGTGAAAGTTATGAGAATCACATGAAACCCTGAAATTCTTATCTTGTGCCCTTCTAGGAAAGATGCTGAACTTTAGATGGGCTATGTAGGCCCTTTTATGATTCTGACTAGTGAGCACAGAAATTGCTTTTAGCTATTGTGCATTTTGGATCGTCTCTTGGTGGCAGGCTCAGTGCGATGGCCCTAAAACATCTGTGTTCTAGCTGTACTGCCTAAAACATGTTCTCCTTTTTGGTTCAGTACATATTGTACAGACATGGGTGCAGTGATATTTTCAGCACATTTTTTTTTTCCTGAAGAGATCCTGCCCCACTTCCCCTGCCTAAAATCTCTCCCAGAGTAAGAAGTCAACTGCATCTCCTCAGTAATTTGTCATTTCAAAGATTCTTAGAGAAAAGTCGTGTATCCAAGCACAGCAATAACTGGCTAACACTCCCCAGACCATAAGATCTTCCTTTCTCAGAAACATTCGAGGCATAGCCTGGGCCTGTCTTCTCTCTCTTCCTTTTCCTTCTTTCTTTCACCAAACATTTCCTGAATCCCTGTGCCAGGGACTGAGCTAGACGATGTGTAAGTATGAGGTGGGGGAAAGTGGGAAGCACATAGAGATGAATCAGAAACTGGCCTGGCCCTGAAATCGCACACAGTCTACCGGGGCAGGCCAGGCTGACTCTCATGTGCGTCTGAGAGAGGCCGCCGTGCCAAGTGAGAGGTGCTGAAGGGGGAGAGCCAGGCATTGTTCAGCCCTGCCTCTTTTGATGTATTTTGTCTCTTCATTTATACTGTGCTCTCTTTTGAGTTAGCATCAGCTGATTTTGCTTGCCCAGCATCCATTTCTCCTTCTGGTAATGGCATCCTGATTTTGCACTGGAGACAGCTTAGTAGGACGTTAATAAAAGTGCCGTGGCCTGCCCCTGCTGAAAATTGGCTGTGTGACCTAAGCTGAACCAATCCAATTCTCCCTTTCTCTCATTTGGTCCTCGAGTGGAGATGCAGGGGTAGAGAATGGTCAGAGTCGACTTTGTCTTACGACCGCATTGATGATACTGGCGATGATTACTACCACCTGGATTTCTGGAACTACTCTGGGTCCTGTCTGTAACAAGGACCAGTCATTCAGCTTTTTTAACGATTCTGTGAACTACCCTCAAGAGCTTTCCCATTATTATTATTATTTTTTACTTATTTATAGATTTGTGCATTTGTTTATATATTAATTACCTTGAGTCTGTTTCTGATGTTTGGTACATAAAGATACCCATCTGGAAGTGAGAGATCATAGTTCCTCTTTATGACCTACTAATGTGCCCTACACAAAGTACGTACTCAGGAAATATTGATCAGTTGGTAACCTGATAGGATGAAATGTCTTCCATTACCTACTCATGGATTATTTTGGGGATTGGGCATAATTCCAAAATTTCTCATAGGTGAATCTCTTTTAAGGCTTTGGTGTAAACTGTAGCAATCATGAAAGCAAAGATTACCTCTTGCTAATAGCCAGAGAGTGCATTTCACCTTAGTGGCACAGTAGAGACTTGTAGTTCTACAGAAAGTGTAGTCTTAGAAGCTCAGGGTTGGTAGAATTTTCAAGACCATTTAGACCTAAAAGGCAGTTGCTTTATAGTGAGGTTTTAAAATTGGTAGTGCTATAAATACTAACAAATAATTATAGTCAATACATTCAGTAACCCAATTAATACCTTTAGTCACTGAATTATATGTTGAATAATTTTGTGGCACCTTTCACGGTACAGCATAAATTAAGTTTTTGCAAATGGAATTATAGTTTATATGCTCTGGTGGAGCTTACAAATTAAAAAGAGGTAATGGCAAAGTCCTTTGTAAACTGAAAAATCCTGAGCAAAGATCAAACAAACCAAAAAAAAAAAAAAAAAGCAGGGGGAGATTTCCAAGGATATGTATTACTTTTTTTGGTAATTTTTTCTTAAACACTCAAGACAGCAAAAGCACTATTTATATATTACTAATGTACTACTGATATCCATATCTGTATCTGTAGATACACAGATGTTCCTTGCTGCATGGTTAATACTCCCAACTGAGGAAGCCCAGAGGTCCCTCAGAAAGGAAAATTCTATAGGCATTTAAGCCAGAGCTGTAAGTACAAACACGGAAAAGTGTCTACAGTGATTTTTGTTGTAAAAAAAGAAAAAGCAAGGTGCAGAACAACAGAAAGAGTTTGGTTATTTAAAAAAGTCTATCTGGAAAGATAAACTGTTCAACATAGTTACAGGAGGTCAGTTAAGATTTTAGGAAGCCACAGGGACAAAAGAAAGTGCTCCCCTACAGGTAATTCAAAATCAAACACATTAAACAGTAAAACAGATGTAAAAAATCCAACTAAATTCTGAGTTTTCTCATATTGAGTATCTTAGTACCTTTAGAAATAGAAAGTTATACTAAAACAATGTTAATGTCCCTATTGCATTGCATTAATCAGGTACTGTTTGCTTTCTCCCTGGGGTCCTCCATCACTGTCAGGGGGAGGAGTTTATTTCTCTTATCTTCTATATTCTTAGAATGATAAAATAACGAGCATGTATTATTTTTTGAATTTTAAAGTGATATAAAAAAATAGGAAAAGGAGCACAAAGGAGCACTCTGGGTGCTGGAAATATTCTACATTCTTCTGAATGGTGATTGTATGGATACGTAATGTCTAAAAAATCATTTAGCTGAATTCTTGAGCTTTGCATACTTTAGGTAAGTTCTACCTCAGTTAAAAAACATTAATTAATCCTATCAAATCTTTAATATGGATGGCTCTTAAGACTGAGTGAAGAGTTACCTGCACCAATACAAAAAACCTTTTCTTCCATCTCTTCCAGACATTCTTACCAATGGCCCATAAATACCTAAGAAAAAGGAAAAAAGACCAGAGTTGCATTAATGCTCAAGCAAGTGCACTGCTTAATTCACTATATCATAAAGCTTAGTTCTCATAAACAAAGAAATGCACAGTCTCAGACACAGCAGATTTTGGAGCTGTGTGGTTGATAAGGGACAGCAGGCAAGGTTCGTTTCCATTTGTAGGAGGAACTGTAGTTCATCATCAGACTTGACTTAAAATTCCTTGATTGATTCCAGAAAGAAGCTTGGAAAATGTTACATTGTTACTTAATTTATATATGTGCTAAAAGTCTTTTAGGTAGGGAAACTCCTGAAAGGTGTTGCAAAAGAGAGAAAAAAACGAGAGTGCTAATTCTCACAACTCCAACGCTCAGCTTTTGTTAGGTCTCATTAGGAAAATCTTCCTTTACCTTTTTTTGCTGTAACTCAAATGCAGGTGTATAGTACAGGAAGGAAGCTTCAAGTCAGCACAGAAAAGTCCCTCCCTAAGGTGCTTCCGTTAGTGGAAATTAATCCTGATTGAGTAATTGAAAAATGAAATAAAAGGGGAGGTTACGGACTAGGCACAGCTCAAAGCAGGATTCACTTATGAATTATCCCATCGCCCTGTGGACTGCTGCGTGTTGAACAGGTGGTGATCAAGGAAATGAGGCTGTTAGTTTTCAGGCTCTCCTGGACAAAGTGAGGAGAGATCTGGTCACACTCAGATACATTCAAATGCTCGAATTCCAAAACTGGTTTTACCTGCTAACAAACCCAAGCGGACAACTTCCAAATCCTTGTTTCATCGAGAATCATCCAGAATTTCCACTTTGGAACACAAACCAGAATGCACCTAATTAGAATTTATAATGTTTGACAAATTGCAGTTGATCACAGGAGTGGCAGGTGGCCAAAATCCACTTAGACATTCAAGGCAGAAACGCAGGTGTCATCCCGGGTCTTTCTGCTTCCTCACCCCTGTTCCTCATTTGCTAAGTGCATTTGACTTTTACCTCCTGCAAAGTTCTTCACTCTGCTGCTCAGTTTTTCCACTTCACCTCCATTCAGTCCCAGCTGCATTTTTTGTTTCCATGAACTACAGAGGGACTCTTAATGGGCTTCAGGGACACCAGGATGATTTTCATCTTCCTCCTGGCCGCGAGATGGATCCTACCATCTGCACATGCCTTTTCCTGCTGAAACTCTTTCAGGGCTTCTCACCTGTTCATGTGAATGGAGCCTCTCACTTTGGCCACTCACATTCCACTTGTAGAATTTATCCCACAGCTGTCTACCTGTTCTATGGTTTACCTGACATTCTTCTTTAACACAAATTTAGAAAGAGAACTTTATAGTATAGTCTTCATACATGAATTATATATTATTTAGCATACATTAAAAGACATAAGTAACTATTTAACTAATACACGCTTATCTGCGTATCACTAAAACAATCTTGTGTACCATCAGTGGTATGAATACACTTAGGGAAACCTTAGAGACAAACCTACAGAGAAAAATCCAGCATCATGACGCTGCTCTGAGAACCTCTTCATTTTCTGGCCCTGCTCACCCTCTAGGCTTACCTTCTACAGCTCCTGACCACACCATAACATTTCACACCTCCGTAACTCTGCCCATGTTAAGCTGCCTGGAATACCCTCTACTCTTCCTCAGTTACCATCTTGGTCTTGATGTCATCGCCTCTTGGATCCTGTAGGTGAGTGTGCTGTCACAACGGTCACAGCTGTGACTTGTTTTCGTATTTACTGTTCCTATTGGACTGTGAGTTTCCTCGAGTGAAGGAACCTTGTTCCTTCTTTCTAAGTTCTCCTTCCTAAACCCCTAGCACAGAACCTTCTTCTTCTTTTTAAATTCCTAGCACAATTCTTGATACATGGTAGGGGGTCAATATATTTTTGTTATGTTTCCATTGTTTTTGAATGCCAGGCTCTTGGAAAACCAGAACAATCTTTATAAAGATTTCTGATGAGGTTTTAAAACACTTCATACACACATGCAATCCACTGACAAGTTCTTTGAGTTTTCCATCCCAAATATGTCCTCTCTCTGTCTATCCCTACTGCTACTCCCCAGTCAGGTCACTACCAGGCCCACCTGGGCCAAGGCAACAGGCTCCTGACCGCCCCCCACACCCCTGTATTCACTGCTGTTTCTATACTCTACTCACTACACAGCAGACAGAGTAATCTGACAAATGGGTAAAGCAGACAATTAATACACTCATTCTAAATAAGGATGGGGAACTATGGAAGGGTTTTAAGCAGGGGAGTGACAGTTATATTTCTATTTAAGATGATCCCAGCGGCTGCTGGGTAGAGAATATACTATGGAAAGGGGCAAGAATATAGAATATGCTACAGAGCTCTAGCATAGAGAATATGCCATAGAAAGGGGCAAGAGAGAAGACAGGGAGATAGGTGCAGGCAAGAGAGAGAGGACAGAGGCTGAAGTGTGGCTGTGGCCATGGACATGGAAGGCTGGCTGGTAAGTTCATCAGCCCTGGGGCCAACACGGTCAGCTCCATTGCTATGTGGAGCACCTCTCTGTCCCGGCCAGTTCTCTCAACCTTCTTGACACAATAAATTAAAATGTTCATGGTGGACATGGATATAAAAGGGAGGCTTGGCCAGGGCTAAAGAGAGAGAGAGGACTTAGTGGCTTGTGATGTCTAGAGTACAGCCCCCCAGACTAGCTCCACTGGTTACTCTGAGATGCTGGGCAAGATGCGCAACTTCTTGGCGCTCTGGAACAAGAGCCAGGAATGGTTCCTCTTTCACAGGGCTGCTGTAGGCATTCAATAGGGCGATGCCTGTGAAGCGTAAGCATGAGGCATGGCAGGAAGCAGACCCACAACAAATGTCAGCCTCAGTATAAAATATCTCTGTGTACAGAGGAAAGCATATCATTACTAGCAGAAAACAGTTAACATGTAAAGAGAAATCCCCTTGGACATATGTACATACGGAAATAGATGGGATAAAAGGTAAAGAAAGCGGGTGAAAAATGTTGTATTTTTAGTAGTGACTGGCAAGGTTATAACAGTCTCATGCTTTTCTGGAATTATGTCTGGCAGCTACTCCCCATTTTCTCTTCCCCCTTAACTTGAATCCCAATAAATAGATTAGAACCAGTGGACATGGCTCCTACATCTGAAGTGTTTATAGTTTGAATTGATGAAACTGGGAGGCCAACAGAACCCACAGAATGCAATGCTTCTTGAAACATTGACTTTCTCTTTATAATAAGAGTACAAGCTATGGCTTAGTGAAGTTTTACTAGTTTTCTGTGCTGTGCCAGACACTTGATATGAATTTATTATACCTGCCTGGACGGGTTAAGAGCTGGCCTCTGGAGCCATGTTGCCTAGGCTTGGTGTGTGGCCATGGGTAAACCAGTAAACTCACCTCTACCTCGGTTTTCTCATGCATACAGCAGGCACCTACTTCAAGGGTTGTTGTCAGAACTAAAATAGTTAGTAAGATACAAAGTACTTAGGACCATACATGGCACAAAGTAAACACTTATTATTAGGTCAGCAATTATGCTATTATTCCTGTTTTATAGCTGAGGAAACTGAAGTTAAGTTCATGGTGAATGACATGGCCAGAATTTAAACTCGGAACATTCTGGCTCTAGATTCCCAGGGCTATGCTTCCTCTCATTTTAGATGACAAGCTTTGGTTTTGTATTGAAATAGGAAAAAGAATTGCTGTTCCAATTGGACGGGGAGGGTTGCTGGTTAAAGGCTTCCGAGTGGGAAAGTGGAGTGGGATCAGAGAAGAATCAACAGTCCTCCTTGGAAGGTATGGGTTGGTTCTTGTGAAAGAGGAGCTTTCCCTCGGAGGTTTTCCTCAGAATTTATTGCTAATTTGGCACATAGCAGAAGGTGTCAAAACCGAGAGAAACCGAGGGCTGCAGCGTGCCGTTTCTGTCTAGTCTGCTCCGGCTCGTAGTTCCTTAAGTTGAAACATGCTCACTAAACAGAATGCAAAGCACCTGGAGCAGATGGCAGCTCTGCCGTTGCAGACATACAGGTGGCTTCCTCTCTAGCTCCTCACACTACAGACAGATCTGTCTGTCTGGCCCTCCACTCTTTCTTCAGGCCATCAGGCTATGTGGAAATCTGGATTTACAAATAGATAAATCAACACTCCAGTGTAGTGAGAGGAGGTTTAGTTCAGCGGTTGCATCTCAAACTCAGTGTGGAAGCATCTAAGTGGAAATTCTGGCCTTGCCGTTAACTATCCTTTGACTTAGCTGCCCTGTGCCTCGGTTCTCTCAGCTATAAAATGGGGATAGGACAGGATGTCCTTCATGCTGTTGTGAGGACTGATGGAGAGGGTACGTGTCAAGTGTTTAGCACAGCACCTGACACACAGTAAGTACTTGGTAATGTTGGGCACTACTGCTGTTTGTCATTATTCTTAGCAGGAGTAGTAGAAGAAATAGTAGTTTTAGTAGGAAGAGTATATAACTACCAGCTTTGCAAAGGATTAATTTTTGGATTCTTTATTTGAATTTATGTTCAGCTTTTGGGTGGATCTATTGGGAAATAAAACAAGGTATACACATCTGGGTTTGAAGCTCCAGGTCACATGTTGCATCATGTACTAACGTATCCTTGCTTGTAGCATTTTGTAAAACCTATGCCACTGGGTTAATGAGATTCCTGTCACATGCTGGGGGCATTTTAGTTATTTGAGAGGCCAGAATGAACTACAAAGGATTAAACAGAAAAGAAGTAGATACACTTTGGTTTTCATGACACCCTTGGCCTCAATGGACAGCACCCATGGTGATGTTTTAACTTGTAATTTGGGTTAAAAAGGGACAGTTTTCCTTCATCTGACATTTTTGAATGTACATGTTAGTAACTCAGTTCTGTTTATTAAGTATCTTCTGTCCTTAGAACTAGATGTGCACACAGAGGATGCTCAATAACTATTCATGCAGAAATTTTTTATTATATATCTTTTTCCATAATGCCCGAGTATGAACATCTAGTGCAGGAAGATGAGTACACGCTCTTTCAGGACACTTGCCAGAGTCACAAAGAAGATAAAATGCAATCATAGAGATATTCGATTAGTCCAAAAGAAGGCAGAAAAAGAGGAAACATGAAAAAAGATAAGATGGGACAAACAGAAAACAAATAGCAAGATGGCAAATAGCAACTTAATTTAAACATAACCATGTCAATAACCACATTTAATTTAAATAAGCTAAATATCTCAATTAAAAGGGAAAGACATTTAGATCAGATTTTAAAAGCTAGACCCAACGGTATGTTCCCTATAAGAAATGCACTTTAACTCTAAAAACAATAAATAGGTTAAAAACAAAAGGAGGGAAAAGAATTTACCACACTGACATTAGATTTTTAACAATCTGGAATGGCTATATTACTGTCACACAGGATAAATTTCAGCACAAAGGATATTACCAGGGATAAAGAAGAATATTTCATAATGATAAAAGGGGCCAGTTTGTCAAGAAGCATACTATAACCTTAAATGCTTATGCATCTAATAACAGAACTTTAAGGATTAGAAGGATTTGGAAGATATGAACATTATCAACTAACTTTATCTAAATGACATATATAGAAAAGAAGCCAACAAGGGAGATGAATGGAGTCCTAAAAGTGTTTCATTGGTGCCGCCTTGGTAGTCTTGTTTGGGAGACTGTGCCAACTGAGTGGTACCTGGAGACTTGCGGGGAGGAGAAAGGACTATAATGGTTTTGAAGAACAAGAGTTCCAGAGTAGCGGCACAGCTAAGAAGATGGAAGAGGAAAGGGGATTTTAAGAAGCCTGGCCAAGACTTATTAACTCTATCTTCTTTAAGGTTTGTTAAAACATAGAAGGAAAATCAAAATTACTGTAAACTATTCCTGGTTGATGGACTGTGATTCACTGAATTAAAGTTTCAGGTCCTCAGTTAAGTTTGAACTGAAAAGAATAATGCAATTCTAGATGCCTCTCTGATGTGTACTCTGACTTGCAAGTCTGTCCGCCACTCTAAGCTCAGTTTCCATATTTGTAAAGTGGGGACTCATTCATTCACTTAATTCTGTAACAAACAATTTTTGGACTTCTACTATGTGTCTGGTCTTGTAGTAGCCACTTGAACAAATGAGACAAATGTCCCTGCTCACAAGGAACTCACAATCTAGTGGGGAACACAGACAACAAACTAAAAAACAAAGAGATATGTAAGATGATGTTAAGTGCTCTGGTGAAAATAAAGCAGAGTAAGAGAGAGACATAGAGGTGGGGAAGAAAGGCACCTGATAAGGTAGACATGCAAAAATCAAGGCGAGCCCTGTGGACAGCTGGGTCAGGGAGAAGGGGTATTCAAGGCAGAGGAAATGGTGGGGACAAGGACCCTGAGGTGGGGGTGCACTTCGAGTTTTTGGAGAAGAGAAAGTAGGCCAGTGTGGCTGAAGAAGTGGTCGGGTCAGATAGGTAGTGGAATCCTTATTCCATATGGCCTTGTAGTCTGGTAACTGCACTGGATTTTACTCTGAATGAGATGGGGAATCACTGGAGGTTTTCTGGTGTTTTTGTGTGTTTTTTTTAATAGTCCTCAGGGTGGGAGACAGACTACTGGGAGGCAAGGACAGCAGTGGGGGGAGTGCTTACAAGTGGAAAGGACAGAGGCTTGGATTCGAATGGCAATATGGAGGTAGGATGAGAGGGTGAATTCTAGATTTATCTTGAAGGTGGAGCAAAAAGCATTTGCTGATGGTTGACATGAGGAGTGAGAGACACAGGGAATTGTCAAGGATGATTCCAAGGTTCTTGGTCTGAGCAACTGGGTGAAGGGAGAGGCCATTTATTAGATGGGAGGATACTGTCTAATCCTTGTGAGGCTGTTTCAGGCATGAAAAGAAGAAACAAGAAACACATGTGAACACACTTCCTGAACTTGAAAACACCAAATGGATGTAAAAGATGAAAAATGAGAAAGTCATCAAGGAGGTTGCTAATTCTTAAATACTCCCAGATACTAATGTCTTAAGGACAAAAAGCAGTGTGATTTTCTCACTAAGATTTTTCTGTTTAATAAGGAAAGTTAGTCATTGCACCTTGAACAGCCAGCCCAGTGGCCAGTTCGGGGAACCACAGTCCACCAACAAGCAGTAATTCACAGTAATTCTAATTTTCCTTTTATGTTTTAATAAACATTAAAGTGGATACTATTTATGACCTCAGCCTTGCTTCTTAAAAATGCCTTTCTCTCCCTATTCTCTAAGCTATGACTGTTCTGGTATTTCTATTCTCCTTCCCCTCAATAAAGCTACTTTAAATTGAAATGAAAAAAAAATGTATCCCATAATAAACATTTTTATTTTCCCCAAATCATCCCTTGAGCACCTAAGGCTGTTAACTCCTGATTTAGGCCACACTGGGTCTGACAGTGTTATTAAGAAATTCATTGTCCACTTTTCAGAACTACTTTAGGCCTTCCTGGTATATTTCCTGGTAGTCGGGTAATTTTTAAATGGCAGCTTAGTAATATGAAATAGCTGTGGGACCTGTTAGACGTGAGTTACATATTTCTTCTGTCACCTGTAGGGTCAAGGTAGCCTGAAATATATTCATAATCTTACAAATGTATCAACAGAAAAATTACTGAATCCTGGTCAGTCATTTCAGTTTCCAATAGAGTAAATGAAGAAAGTATGGGAAATGGGAATGTGTCCAACGGGGGTAATGATACCTATGACAAGTGTTTTCTGTGGGGATTAAATGAGAGGGTGTTTCTAAAACACCTAGTCAGGTGCTTCCAAGAGGTCTAGAAAGTAGGTTGAGCTACTGATCCCTTTAAGGAAGTTTTTTTAAAAAGCACTTTTGAGGACAGATACATTCATTTATGTTTTTGTTACCGCTTTCTCTCTCTGTGGTCTGTTCTACTGTCCTCATTTTTCCCTTTCTGTCTACCTCCACCCTGGGCATCTCACGCTCCGCTTACTTCAGCAACTATTGATTATTTATGAGCTAGTATTTTGCTAAAGATGCAGAATCTTTTCCTGTGTGCCATAGGGACTCTTTGTCTTGACACTTAGATGTTTACAACGAGGGGAAGAGGTACTGGAGAGCAACTACATCTAACTCTTTGGGAATATATGTCAGGAGTATGGTAAGACGGAGGAAAAGCTGACATCTGAAACATTTCATGAGATGTCCTCATGAGACACTAATTATATTGAGGAGCTGCTACCTGCCCTTCATCATGGATGACTGCAAAAGCACTGAGTGCAGCAAGGGCTGGATCACTCCTGCACAGCCTTCCCATGGCCACAGGCAGAAGAGTTTTGCCATGATCCCATCTCAGGCTCTGGGACAAGGTGGCTTCAAGATGGTGCCATGTAAATCCCCCAGGTCCAAGCCGGGGCTCGGGTGTAGGGATGGGTCCCAGCTCGGGAGAGACCTCTGCTTCCTCGGGAGTTCCCCATGCCTGACTCCATGCAGCGCCTTGCCTGGTAGGCACCTATCTTCCTCTGGAACCTTGAGCCTTCTTTACTCCCTGGAACCCCACAGTATGGCGGCTTGGGTGCTGTCCCTTCCTCTCGCCCACACGCCGCTGTGGTCCGCTCACCTGCTGAATGTGTATTCCTCGCCCTGGTCACTCCTTCCTGGATCTCTCACGGGCTTGTGTCTAGATCTGTCTGAATCAGTGGCTAGTTCTGGGACTGGGTTTCTGAATTCCTTAATCCCCTAGCACATATCAATCGTCATGTCAGTTTTACCGCTGTAACCCGTCTCATAAACACATACATCCCACAGAGAATTTATGAGATGTTTCCACTGACCAGAGGGGCTAAGCAGAATGATAGCCAGTTGGCAAATGGTACCTGCAGAATCCTTGGTAAACAATCCATTCCCTTCCGTTGGGTAAACAGTCCCCTATTCAGAGGCATATGGCCCAACTCTTCTCTATGATCACATTTTCTGAGAGAGTGGGGTCCAAGTAATTTAGTTAAATAGACTATGGCTCAGAACATACCCAGTTGTCAATACACATTTTCTGTACAATTCAATGGTTTGATTTGTAAAATACAACTGGACTTTACCTATTCTTTTTATCCTACTTGAAATTACTTAATTGCTCATTCCTCTCACACCTTAAGAAACTGAAGATGATTACACATTTTCTATTTTTTGGTCATTTATTTAAATGCTACAGTAAACACTAAAACTGATTCAATATGAATTGATTATTTGAAGGTTGCAACTGCTCATACTTCCTGGACGTGGTTGTCAGTGAAGGTGCAAGTGAGTGATTTGTGGAGTATGAAGGCTTTAGATGCCTTTGAGAAAGTACACAAAATCAATAAAACCTCCTAAATCAGAATCGCCTAGCATGCTTCTGAGGAAGGTTTTGAACTGTACTGAGAATCCTATTGGAAAAGGAGAAGGAAATTATTCTACCTTGACAGCAGAATGCAAATACAGCAATCATTAGAACTGAAGAATTGAAGCTTATAATAAATATCAAGTTCAAGTATTGTAATAACCTTTCATGAATCCTTTATATTTCCTTCCACATAGTTCTCTGAAGATCACTGTCCTTTTTTAAAAAATATTTTAAGAAATGAATGGAGATGTGTCTAAAATTACCACTCGGAGAAGAAACACTTACCCAGAATGCTTCATGTTTTGAGGCTTATCCATTCTGACAGCAAGTTTGATTTTGAGGTCTTGATCAGGGCAGTTTTTGGAGACTGTCATTTTGTGCCACTCTGATTGTTTGGGGCTGTTCGGGGTGGGGTGGAGAATAACCTGTAGGAAAGAAGACAGCCATCTTAGCCACAGAATAGAAACGCTGTTACTGGCATGCTTTTACAGACCAGTATCTTTGCTGCTGAGAAGCAGGATGTCTTATAGCCAATGGGAAGGCAGTTAAATGAAGTGGAGGCCTGGCCATCAGACTCAAATTCAAGGCTCCATCTACCAACCACAGTTGCTTCATGCCAAGAAGCCTGACTAGAGGACAGAAATGGCATCCTTTTTCTCTCTTTTTTCCCTCCTTGGTTAATCCTGTAAAAGTAAGGATCATGATTTCTGTGATCCTACTTTTGTATTTTTCTTAAGTTCAGAAGTACTAAAGCGGCCCAGAAAAAAGAATGATCTCCACATACTGCTTTCTTCATATAAGAGGAGGGATGTACGAGAGGAAGAAATCTCCTTTTGTATCAGAGAGCACTTCTGGTCACTCATTTTTCCATTTGTCAGGATTCCTCCTATTTCAAGAGGAGAGGTCCCCTCAGAGGCTGCAGGGGAAGGTGGAGGGGACCTTACGTGATGGGTGGGAAGGGAAGGGACTTGCTTGTAGTCACACACTTCCACACAAGCGCAACTTATCACACAACACTCAGTGCTGTTCTGGCACAGAGGAACCGCGCACGGCCTGAAGAAGCCCCAGCTCTCAGAAAGAGCCTCTCCCCAGTGTGCCTCGGAGATGGACCTTGGATCTGGGTCTTCTGCCTCCGTCTCATTGTCTCAGAGGTTGTCAGGGAAGCAGGAAGTGAATAAGAGTTCTCAGGAGTCACATGCACTCAGGGAGGAGTGAAATATTTGGAAACTCCCCTAAAGGAGCATGAACTAAGTATAGGCACAACAAGACCTGGGCTCGCTGAGACTGTTTCTGCAGTGGCAGAATGCCCTGGTTTGTCACATGCTGTTCGGGCTCTGATGTCAAAGCATCTCTTGCTCCAGGTGCAGAGAAGGCAGGCTCCTTTCCTGGCCTCCTTCACCTCTGGGTGGGGGTGGGAGAGGCCCAGAGTCTCAGGTGTGGGCACTCCAGCCTCAGGTGCTGTGTCAGTCTCATGGCTGTCAGGCAAGCTTGGCCCATGCTTGGAGGGTGGAAGCGTATGGCTTCCTGTGTGATTGGGGAACAAGAGCTTGGAGAGGAATAGGAGACCATGGGAGAAAAACACCGTAAGCCCACTTTGACATCCTTCATTCGTGCTGATTTTTCACCCCTTCTGACACTTTTTTTCCCCATCGGATTCTCTTCAATGAAGGAGTTTTTTTTTTGACTAAAGACAAAATTTGAGTCTTCTCAATGTCTTCTGACATGATTGAAATACAAGATGGCCTGATTTTTCAGACCAGAGGTTGTCAAAGTTTTTTCTGACCATTCCCTAAATCAGTAAAACATTTTTGAGCAATTTGCTCAATGTCTGTATATATCACTATCAATGTAAAAGTATATTGCCCTCAATACATAAATATCAGTAAAAACATTATATATGCTTACTTTGTATTAACAGGTTACATTATTATATACATCATAAAATGTACACAAGTATAGAAATCTGAAAATGTGCTAAAGATAAAAAAACTGTACTTTAAAATACTCTGCTAATTGTGGTAACCTGTTAACATTATCAGCTGTATTTGAAGGTACCATACGTCTTTAGGGCCAGGCTCATTGTTAGTGACACTGGATGCAAATCTGTCATTCAAGTAACCTTGTAAATAATTTCAGAACATCATGACTGACTTCTGACCCAACCTGGTTCCACTGGTGCTGTTTTTATCTCATGATGTGGGTGACAGAACCCCTAGCAAGACTGATGTCAGCTCTACCACTGTTACATTGTTTGCCAGGCTTGCCTTACGAGTATTGTCATTAAGTCATAGCTCTTCTGTAGCAATCTTTTTAGGTATTTGTTCATTTCGTGAGGGTTAACTCAGTTAAAATTCTATCATAAAATGTATAAACTCACTTAATTGGAACTATCGAACTGTGATGTGGCATGGGAAGTAAATGGGTAAGTTAGGGTGCCACTGGGGGGCGGACACCTCTCCCTTTCCTCAAGTAAATGCCTGTTCCTGTATGTCAGTCACATCATGTTCCGGATCCCAACACCCCAGCCTCTGGGAGATGGAGAGGAGGGGCTTTTGCTCCAGGGAAGCTGACCCTCTTTCCTGAGCTGGTTTGGCCTGATGGGTAAAGAAAAGGGGATGTCCTGGGAGGCAAGGAAGGGGAGGGACTGGTAAGAGAAACCCCAGGCAGGGACAGGCAAGGCCCTGGGCTTCCTTCTGCTCCTGCCTGTTTGGCAAAATCAGAGCAGGAGCAGTGCTCTGGGCACCCGGAGCTCATTAGCAGGCCTTCCACCATATGGATTCTGGGCACGTTTCCCACTGGCAATATGGGGTCCATTCGCTGAAGCAAATGGCCACAGCTCATGACTGGCCGCTCCACAAAGACTTCTTCCCCCATGTGGTAGCTCCCTGGGGAGACCTCCTCTCCTGGGTGGATGGAGACAGGTCACTGCAGCTCCCCTCCATCTTCATCCCCACCCTGCTATGTGCCTGGCGGGTTGACGACACCTTTGTATGTGTCAGCCCTGCTGAATTATTAGGGTCCTTCTGGGTGCACGTGAGCCTCGAGCAGTCCAGACACCTCATCAGGACATTCCAGGCTGATAATCAAGCACTTTTTCATCTCAGCCTAGGCCCATGTGTGCTGTGCTTTGATGTGGTGATGCTCATGTGAACACAACCCACCCCTGTAGTAAGCTGCACGCCAGCTGGCCCCAGCTTCTCTTAGTTACCTGGGTGCACGGGCAGGTCCTTCTCAGGAGGGGGGTCTTAACCTAAGTCTTTACCTGGCTGATCCCCTCCAAGACTTAGCCTGTATTTCCCTGCCTACCTCTGCATCCCTGCTGGGACAGCATTCCCTGCCCCTCAGACTAGATTACGTCTCCATGTTACATGCTTCCCAGTGACCCTTCTCTAACAGGCCACTTACCACACTGCACTCTATAATTTCTAGTTTTTGTGCCTACATCCCTTAGTGTTTTGAGGTTATGAGTTGTTGTCTGTCATTCCTGTTTGCTTTGTGCATAGCTGGATGATGGGACACGGTGGGCCTGCAATCATATTCAATGGATAAACGTTTGATTATCCTGTAGTGCTGGCAAGGGTGTGGGGTAACAATCATGCTTTTAGGCCTTCTGTAGCAGTATAAATTGGTGTATACTCTGCAGGGTACAATTTGGCAGTATCTGTCAAAGTTTAAATTTGATTCAGCAAAACATTTTTTTTGGAATCTATCTTCTATGTACATGTGTATGTGCAAAGAAATAAATTCAAGGTTACTCACTGAAGCACTGCTTATACAAAGACTGAAAACCATCTAAATAAATTATGAGGGATTTATACAGTGCAGTGCTATATGCACTGTGAAAACAGGAGGCAAGTCAGTTTGGGGTGATACGGACTAATTTCCAAATATACTGATATTTCAAACAGTGCAGAACAGTATGCATCCAGTAGCATCCAGTTGTGCACTCTCTCTTTTTTAAGACAGATATGCACACAAATGGTGTATATGCTACACTCGTCCATGCGTAGAATATTTGGGGAAGAATATGTACACAATGAATTGAAAACAAAGTTTTTCTTCAGGAAAGGATAGTAGGGCAAGGTGGAAGGGACATTAGTCTTCACACTATATTTCACTACATATATATATATTAGCTTTTTCTTTTTACAATGTGCATGAATTATTTTTTCAATTAAAAATGTCAATAAGATGAAATAATAAAGATGGAGCAAACTAAATATTGTCGAATGAATGAATATAGCACCAGGATTTCGATTGTGGTTGTGTCCAGCTAAGCCTGGGAAGAATTAGAGCATAGAAATACTCTCCTGAGGGGTGAAAGGAATCACTTTCTGGACTGTGGCCCCCCCCCAGAGGCTGTCTGGGCAGGTGCTGCCAGCAGAGGGCGCCTCAGCCAGCACAAGGGCCAGGCCAGCTCCACTGTGATTGGAGGAAAGTTTCTTTGGCAGTAAGGAAAACTAGTAATTGGGGGCATATATAATGAGGCTGGAGGAAGGAATGAGTTATTAAGAAATGAGGAACTGTGTGGGGCTGTGGCAAGCTAGTGGCCTCCACCACAGCAGCAGAGCACAGGGTTTTATTTTTGCATAGGGACCACAGGCCTGGCGATGAGTAGACATCATTCCTGGCAAGTTACTTCCTCTGGACCCCGGAACCCATCGTACAAGAGGGGTAATAACTCATTAGGGTTATTAGGAAGACAACACCATCCTCAGGACAGAGGTCTGGCCAACGGTAACTGTAGGACGCACTGGCCCCCACTAACTGGGTGGCTCTGGGGAAGTTTTCTGCCTTCATGGAATCAGTTTTCTCATCTATAACATAAAAGGGTTTGACTAGTCCAGTGGTTTTAACTTTTCTGAGTGGAAACAGCTTTGAGAAGCTGGTGAATGCTTTGGACTAGTGATTCGAGAGAAATGCACAAATGCCCCCCACCAACATTTGCAAACAATTTATGGGGGCTCCTGGGTTCTGTGGAGCCCCCATGGATTCAGGTTGAGCATTCCTGGACTTTTCTATTTAACTCTAACATCCTGGGTCTCTGAGACTCTCATGATTCTTGACAAGCTTTTTCATGGAAAAAGAAAATTTTGAAAAAAATAAAAATAAAAGGCAGGCTACTCAGCTCCCCACCCCCAGCCTATGTGTGTCCTTCTCTCCCTAGGGACAGAAATGAGTACTTGTCATTTCTCAAAGAGAACAGCTAAACCTCTTCTTTTCTTTCTTTCTTCTCCTTTTTGGGGACTTGGGTGTGGGGGAGGGTTGGGGCAATCTTTTTCCTGTTAGCCTTTTGACTTTTTGTTTTATTTCCATCTGTGGTCTATGTCTTAGTAGTATGATTCTAGTTCAGTTCTGTAGATGAAAGTCAGATTAAGGATGTGAAAAAAAGAAAACATGGTCTGTGTTATTGCTGGTATTGTTAGGCATGTGTGTTTGTGTGCTCTCATTATTCTACAGATGACATATTAGAAGTTGAGGGGTTAAATGTCTTGGCTAACGTCACACAGCTTTCCAAAGGGATAATGCATTCCACCAGTTGGAAATGAAATGTACTGAGAGTCTATGTGGTGGGTTCTCTGTATAGGGTGGTAAGCAAAAGAGTTAGGGTTCCACTCCCATGGGACTTTTATAGTCCAATGGGGGAGACAGAAGCCATGACGTCTGTAAATTCCTCTCTCTTTTTGTCACTGGTGATAAATTCAGTGGAGGCCATGAACAGTGACTCAGGCAGCAAATGAAAGAGACTGCCTAGTCAGGAGAGGGCTCTTTGAGAAGGTGGGCAGATGACACGAGTCTTTGTAAGCTTTGCTAGAGTTCAGATTTTACTTTAAGCAGTGTTGCATTATGTGAGCATTTTAAGCTAGTAAGTGACAAATCCAGCTTGTGTTGTGAAACCAATGGCTGTTTGGTGCAGAGTTGACAGCTGAAATTTAAGAAGGAATGTCTTTGTTATCTCAGTGGTACTCTGAGGAACAGGTACCAGCCCTTGGATGTTTCAGAAATTTGGGGGATGTTTCTGGTTGTCAAAATAATTGGTGCAGGGCTCTGTTGGCACTGAATGGGCAGAGCCCAGCCATACTAAAATCCTGCCATGAGTGAGATAGTCTTCCCAGTGGAAAATCCTCCTGAATTCCAGCTGAATTTTGAATATTCCCACTAGATATGAATGGAGGGGGAACACCTGTATATAATGAACAGCATCTAGATCCTAAATCTTTCTTATATATATACTCAAAGTATTTTGGCCCTTTTCCAGAGAAGTTAAGGAAACTGTTACTAAGACTGCTTTACTGTTTCAAGAAATCAGTTTACCGATACTCAGGCTTTTGGGGCCCCTCCTTGCACAGTGGGTGTGGTAGATGTCATTGTCACGACTCTCTATATGGGAATGAGGAAGCCATCCCTTTAGGTCTTCTGGAGCAGTCATGCCTGAATCATTACATTTGTAAATTTTTATTATTAATTATTATGACTGACCTTTGTACAATGTGGGCTTGAACTGCATGGGTTCACTTATACATGGATTTTTTTTCAGTAAGTATTGGAAAAGTTTTTGGAGACTTGTGATAATTTAAAAAAATGTACAGATGAACCACAAAGACTAGAAATAGAAAAAAAGAAAACATATGCCATGAATGCATAAAAATATATGCATAAAATATTTGCTCTATTTTACCATTTCCTATCATGAAATTAACAGTAAGCTCTTTAAGTTTTGGGCAGCCAAAAAATCCTACATGGATTTTCAACAGTGTTGGGGGTCAGTGCCCCTCACCCCTGAGTTGTTCAAAGGTCAACTGTAATTGCCTTTTATTTCTCCTTTATTATGTCATCGTGTTGATGTTAAAATTTTTAGGTGGGTTAGTTTGTTAAATTATCTAGGACTTTCATTTTAGGATAGAAAGGGCCCAGCAAATCTTTGCTCAAAAGGGTATTGCATCAGAAAAGTCATGCTCTGTCTTCTGCAGTGTGCACTAATGGTAGCCCCGATTTAAAGAGGGGAAACTGAGCTTGGAGAGGTCAAGGGACTTGTTCAAGGTCACACAGTAAATGGAGAGTGGAGCCCGGGATTTTAACCCCAAAGCCATGCTTTCAGCCCTGTTGGGACCTGTCGACACCTGCTCTCTGGAGCTTGCTGGGAGAGATAATCTCTGTGATGGGGACCACTTACACGTCCAAGCTCCTTGTCCTCCAAGGCCAGGACTCCTGTGCTCTCTGTGAACAGTTTCACCTTCACGGCGGGCAGTGCATGGGTCGTTGAGAAGTCACCCTGGGTGCCCCAGCTGTGGACAGAATCAGAGAGGTCAGTGTGGAGACCTCCACCTTGACAGTGCTAAACACAGCCGTCTTCCTCACGGGTCGGGAGAATGCAGGGTTAACCCGAGGCAGCACTGGCTGTCACAACCCCCCTCCTCTACAAAGCTGCCAGGGTGACAAAAAGTGTTAATTAACTTGTTAGGCAAATGCAAGACAGATGCTCAGAAAGTTGCCATAGGTCTTTATAGAGAACTACAAGGAATCACTTGAAATTAGCATGAAATCAAGTTGGTGAGAACTTTCCTCCAATTTGCTATACTAAAAACTATTCTAGGATAACCACTACTATTTCTTTGTTTTTGATTCCCTAGTTCTCAGAAGCTGCAGTTCTAGATTTTGCTATGACGTTTTATTTGGTCCAAGCCAACACCTAACTTTAAAATGAGACCTCAGTAGTAGTGGGGAGGTGGAGAGCTCCAATTCCACCGGCATTCAAAGATGAACGGAAGAGAGGAATTGATGGAGCTCCACCCTGTCAAAGAAGAGTGGAAGGTAGAAGGATATGACTTGGAAATGCCCTTTTCCACTCGCCAGTCTATGTAGTCTGAGTCTTAGGTCTCTGCAGAGGAGAGCCTGGCTTACCTAGCAAATGGGTAGAGTGCCAGGCTGGGCTGAAATGAGCCCAGTGGGCCCCTCAGAAGTGGCCTTCTCATTCACTCATCATTACTCATAGAGAGCCACCTCCATCTACTCTATACCTGCAATCAGGGTGGTCTTGGGAAGTGTCAGCCGGGCTGCCCTGAGCCCTGCCCCATGTCCTTCTGCAGCACCTGCCCCATTGCACTCACAGTGCAGTCCTGACCCCTGGATCTGCTCTCCCACTCCCTGACTCCTTGTCACGGACCTCCTGATTGTGCCACCTCAGGGCCGTGGCATGCATGTTTTCCTGTGGTGCCAATGCTTTTCCCACCACTCTTCCTCCGCCTACCTCTGCAGAGTTCAACTTAACCTTTTCTCAGAGAACATGCCCCTTGATCGCCCAGTCTAAATTTGGTTCCAGTGTTAAACTCTCTAGAACACACTGTTCAGTGTTTTTGTACTAGCAATCATTGGATTTGTAATTATTGATTTATTTGTGTGATTGTTTAATAGCTGAACCCTTGCATCTTCTGTATGAGAATACAGAAGTGCAGGGACCGGGTGTGTTTTGTTTATATTGCATACCCCGTACTTAGCACAGTCCTTGGCACACCGAAGACACTTGCTTAATAAGGGTTTGTTGAATAATCAAGTGATGTCAAATATATGTTCTTTTATAGACTAGGAATAGATATGATTTTGTGTAGAGATTTTTTTTTTCTTTCTGATGGGAATGAATGATGGCCAATTTCCATGTTATAAAATTCTCATTAAAATATTATTTTTAATGACTGCAATATTACACTTTATGGATGTACGATAATTTATTTAACCCTTGTTCTCTTATTGAGATTGGGATGGCCATTATTTTGATTTCATCTCTGATTATTTCTCTGAGATAGAGAGCGAGATGGAAGAGTGTTTCTTCATTCAGTTATCAGCACACACTATGGTGCCTTGGCAATGCTGCAGGAACTCTGCTCATCAAGGAACCCTTTCAAGACTTGGGACACCCATTCCCAAAATGCTTCCACAAAAGTGGGGACTGTTCTCCCACCATCCCGGAGCGAGAGTGCTAATCACAGGACTTCTTATCTGTAATGGGTGTCCCTATTTACATTTTCTTCTGGCCTATTTTGTCATCGCTATTTCCATGGGCATTCCTTTGGCTAGTAGCAGGCTTGAATATTTTTCTCTGTGTTTGTTGGCTGTTTGCATTTCTTTTCCTGTTTATGATGGAAATCTGACTTGCAGTCTCCCTGCTGCACTCAAATAAATCCTGTTAACTCAAAGGCATGAGGAATGTAGAAGGAATTGACAAGGGCTTTGACAGAACAGTGGAGGTAAGGGGGACCCAGATCCATGGGGTTCTAGGTGCATGAGAAGCAATCACAATACAGAAAAGGAGAGGACATCAAAGAAGCCACGAGACAGAACAAGAAGCAGCAGGTCTCAAACAGCAGTACAGCGCTCAGTGTACAGATAGAAGCTCCTGATCTTGGTCATCAGCAGCTGCAGCAAGCTCCGAATACAAGGGAATCTTCGTCCTACCCAAGGCGTAGGGTCTTGAACTGGACATCCTTAATTCAAATACTGGTCAGTCATTTACAAACTGCAGGATTTGGGACAAGTATTTAAGGCTTCCATACCTCAGTGTGCTTAGCTATAAAATAATGTCATTTCACAGAGTAGTTATAAAAAAGAGTAAATTCATAACTAAATAGTTATAAAGAGTAAGTAGTAAACAGGCTTGGCACAGGGTGAGGAGCCAATGCATTTTGGCTACCTTCCCTTCCCGAATAAGGATACGTGTACGATGCATTTTAGTAAGAATGATGATCACTTGTATTTTGTATTATCCACTCAGCACATATTTATTAAGCATCTAAGTGTCCAACCCTGTGTTGGGCAAGCAAGATGGACACTGCCCTTCCTATTATACAAGGTTATTATGGTCCCCACTTCACAGATGAGAAAATTGAGAAGAAACTCAAGATCTTGCCCATTTTATTCCAGTGACCGTGACCAAGTTAGCTGGAACCAGATCTCTTAATTCCCGCTTCACAGCTCTCACTTCTATCAGTCATGATTATCACTAGCAAGCATGAGCAGTGATTATAATATTGGCAAAAAAATGCAATTATTGATTTATTACTTGTAATTAATTGTGCTATTAACCTCTTTGGGCCTTTATCATGATAGATCATGGAGATGAGAAAGATTCCTGATGGAAATCAGAAGGTCTCTGGAGTGAGATGCTTTAACACTAAGCCACAAAGAGGCCTTGACCCCAGTGCCCTGGAGGTTCCTCCACACTGGTTGATAGGGATTTTCTCCCCTGCTCAGGGAGCATCCATGCGGTCTGCCTGGACTCCTGCAGCTCCCCAAGGACGCCCAGCCCATAAGGTATTCAACATGATTCAGAGAGGGCACGGGGCAGGGAGGGGCCTCCAAGACCCCTTCGGCTGCTTGGAATTCAAGCTGCTGGAGGCTGCCCGACACCGCCCCCACTCCGTCCACTTGGACACTGAGTTGCTTTTCCTTCCCACCAGGCCTGCAGCTGTACTTTGGGCTTCCTGCCATGGAAGCCCACCTTAAATTGTTAGGCACTACTGAATCCTGTTTTACCCATCAGATTTCAGAATGGTGCCCTGGCCCAGCAGAGCAGGCAAAGTGAGCAAGTCTCCAGTCTAATCAGGACTGACCATGTCATTTTCAGGGCATGGTGCAAAATGAACATGTGGGACTCCTTGTTCAAAAAGCAGGAAAAAAGCGTCATTAAAGGTACCTAAATAGAAAGTGTTTTGCTTTTTCTGAGTATTTCTGCTCAAACACATGCTCCATTGTTCCATCAGACTTAACAAACACAATTCAAACATAAAATAATTAAGAATTTCAAGCATTAAACCAAATGTGGGTCTGAACATGGCGCCTGTGCAGCTGCATGGGTCACAAGCTTAGGAATTCAGCTCTGAGTCCAAGAGGCCCCAGTCTGTTTAGCTGGGGCTGAGGATGGGCCATGCAGCGGTGGCTGCCACTACTGCTGCCACGAAACCACGGCCCCTTGCTACAGTCATTGGACTCTGTGAAAACTGCTGCAGTCTTCTTTTTGTCACTGTTTCCTATTCATAGGAAATCGAAGGAGATTTAATTATCAGCACTCTTCCTTGCCCTTCTCTGCTTTGGGAAAATAAAGTTGTGAAAATGTCTATTCTTTGTTTTTTTTTCCAGCCATGGACAGACCTATCTTATGACAAAAACAGATAATATTTATTTAGAGATTACAATGTGCTAGGCACAAATTCCTATCTCAAAAATGTCATAGGGTCGTACATGCATTTTATCTTTTTAAACCTTCTTGGCCATCCTGTGAAATGTTTATAATTATCACCCTCATAATTACAGCTGAGGCTAAGAGAGGCCAGTAATGTGTCCAAGATGACGCCAAGGGAGCAAATGGCAGTCTGACCCCACAACCCAACCCCTTAACATGTCACCACGTCCCTTCCCTCACAGATCCCCTCAACTCACTCCTCTGTGTCTTGACCCAGTTAATGTCAGTTACTTTGTAGCTCAAAGGGAGACTTCTGCTTTAAGATTGATGGGATCATGGGCCATTTAGTTTCTCAGTTTGGATTTATTTCACATGTTCAATATATACTTCACAAATGCTACATACCCTACAGACAAATTAGCCAGTGGTAGAAGCATCAAAAACATGTGGTGGGGCCACACACCAATAAATGGATCTATTCCTCATTGCTGCATTCTTCTCTGCTCATTTCTGTTTCTTTGCTTTGCATTGACTGTGCCCGTTAGGATCATCTCTCACCTTAAAAGTTGCCCAGAACTAAAATAAAATTGCACTTTGATTTGAAAAGTCCAGAGGTTGCTAATATTTATTTCAAGCAGCAGTTGGGGAGGTTAAATAACTTCTCTCAGAACACAAAGTATATACTGAAGTGGATGAGGTGTCCCTTTTTTCAGATCCCATCATTTCTACTACTGTATCATACTATCCTCACAAAAATGCTAAAAATCATCCCAAATTTTTGAGTGCTTATTGTTTGCTAGGCCCTGGGCTGCATGCTTTTCATTTTCCATTTAATCCTTCTGACAGTTTCTGAATATATTGTTATTATACTGAAATATATTGTTATTATGCTCACTTCATGAATGGAAAAACCAGGACTTAGGGAGGTTTAGTAACAGAGCCTGGGTTTTAGACTATCACAACTCTGAGCTTCAAACTCAGAGTTTCTGACCCCAAAGTTCATGCATTAAACCACAGAGCTTTACTGTGTCTTAATAACTCATAAAACAGAATTATAACATACTTTGACAATTACCTGTATGTCTATGTTTCTAGATGGTGAACATCTTAAGG